AACCAATCACAAACGCCGCGTAAATCTACTGCTAGTTTTTCATTAGCATCAACACATGAGGAGGGATCGTAGGATAGATAAAGCTGGGTATCATCAGCATAAGAATGTAAAGCGCAATGTTTGACCGACCGATCCAAGTCCGACACGTATAAAGTAAATAAGATTGGTCCTAAAATGGAACCTTGCGGCACCCCCTTTACAATGACCCGATTGTCAGAATAGTCACTGCCTATTTTAACTTGTTGAAGTCGATCTGATAGGTAATTGTCAAACCATGTAATCGAATTCTCAGAAAAACCAAGAAAGTGCAGCTTAGCCAATAACATTTTGTGGTTTAAACAGTCAAATGCCTTTCTTAAATCCAGCAGAACAGTTGTAGTTACGCAGGAAATATCTATAGCTTTCAAGTAGTCAACACAAATGTCAACTAATGCAGTCGCAGTACTATGATTTTTTCTAAATCCCGACTGTGTATTTGGAATTAAGCTGTATTTATTGATGTGTGTTAGCATTTGCTCGTAAACGATCTTTTCTAGAATTTTTGACAAGAGTGAAAGTATGCTTATAGGCCTGAAATCGCAAGGCAATTGGGGATTATCGATTTTACCAACGGGAATAACAGTTGCGGCTTTCCATATGAGTGGTACGATACCATGTTCCAAAGAAAAGTTTATAATATGAGTAAGAGCCCTGAGGCAAAAAGGAAGAATATAGGAAAATGTATCTATATTTAATCCATCTAGTCCGGTAGCACGCGAGTTTATTTTTTGAAAGGTCTTCAAGACTTTTTCCTCGGTAACAAACTTAAACTGAAATAGGTCATTGATATTTGGTAGCATGTTGGTGTTGTAGTACTCTAAGAGTGTTTCATTTATTGAGTTATCGGGAACTGAATCCACAAAACAGTTATTTAATATGTTGGGTTCCAAAGTACACAGATTATTTTTACCCTTAGAACCATGAATCCCTAGCTCCTTTATAGCTTTCCACCAGCTCCGAGAACTGTTGCTTTTTCTTAGCTGGTATTCAATATATGCTTTTTTTTTTCGCGCCTAATAGATGCTGTGACTAGATTCCTTAATTGCTTATAGTAGTTCCATTTGGCAGTTTTTATCTCGTCAGAAAAATTGTTCTTAACAGTTTTCTTATACTTAGAATAGGCATTATTGCGAAACCGCATCATGAATTTAATATTGTGTGTAATCCAGGGACAACGTGCTTTTGATATCTTCCTGGTTTTAATTGGTGCGCATATATTTAGCAGATCATCAATAAGGCTGTAAAAATGTTGCAGTTTTGATTCAATGTCATCATAGTTGATAACACCTAGCCAGTGCATATTAGACGCTACCTCATTCAAAAGAGACTCATCAATATTCGTTAAATCACGGGTCTGTACATATTTTGTATCTCTAACGGCTTGTTCACATTCCACACAAAAATAAACTAGATAGTGATCGGACACCGCAGGAAGATTCACAACTCCTTTATTAGCAATCTTAACTTCATCATTAACGAAAACGACATCTATTAAGGTACTACTGTTATTCGTGACCCTGGTTTCATGGTCAACTATTTGATGCAGATTCAAATCTTCAAAAATGTTAGAGACAAAGACACATTCAGGACTACTACAATCAAAGAAGTTAATATTCAAGTCGCCCATGCATACTAAACCCTCTGATGTTGGAAATATAGATGTCAACATTTCCTCCAGCTCCGACAGAGTTCTATAGCTGACACTGGGGGGTTTATAAACTACTCCAACCGTGTACTTTTTTTTGTTGACAGATATATTTACCCAAAGCTGTTCAAAACCACTGTTCACCTCTGCATGCAAGTTCTCCAGCATTGAGCATCGTAAGCCAACTCTGACATATAAGGCAATACCCCCGCCTCGCCTATCAACCCTGTCATGCCTAAAAAGCTGGTATCCCGCAATTTGTACATTACTTTCAAAAACGTCTGGTTTGAGCCAAGTTTCTGTGAAACCAACTATGTCAAAGTTTTGAGTGAGAACATAGTCCCTCACATCATGAAAAGAGCAAATTAGCGACCTAACATTGAGGCACCCTATCATTATATTATACTCCTCATTACGAATGACATCAAATTCACATAACAGAGACATAATGAAACAAAATATAAGGATATAAAAACAAACAACAAGAAATAAAAAAGAGTATGAGATAAAAAGATTAAAAAAGATGGATAAAAAATGTGTTGTATGGAATAAAATAGAAATAAATAATAACGTTAATAAAATAAGCCAAAGGATGTACTAGGAGTAGTTTGTTTTACTCCTGATAAACTTTTCAATGTTTTGTAGACACGCACACTTGTTATCCCATACAGAGTGACAGGTATCATAATTTTTACCAAGTTTATTGTTGGCATTTATGCAATTTATACAACAGATGGAGTCATCATTCCTACATTGACTTTTTTCGTGTTTACCAGAGCAAGCTGGACAAATAGTCTGATTATTACAATTTTTTTGTATGTGACCGTACTCGCAACACTTGAAACAACGAACTACAGAAAAATGCTCGTAAACAGGACAACGATTCCATCCTATGTTTAGCTTTCCTTCACCCATTATCGAATGGAAAGACTTAGGATCTAGCTCAGCAACAAGATCAAACTTGTCATTTTTAACTGGATATTTATATACAATTCTGAATAATGGGTCATGTATATTAGATAGAACGCTATATGTCCTCCTGTTTTTACAACTTATATGGACTTGCTGTATCTGCTTTTATTGAATCATAATGTTATAAGTTGATGTTTTTCAGTCTAATTTGAACATCAGTCAGACTGCTTTTTGTATTAATTTTTTTTCTTTTGACTTGTGTAAACACGCTGGGGTACTTAACACAAATAAAGAATTGAATTGAATTGAATTGACTAGTACCACAGATGCTCGACTATCTTCTGGCAACTATGCATTACAGGTGCCCATCTTGAGCTCCGCCCTGGGCTAGAGCCTTCGCTTTCCAAGATGGCTTGGTATCGATTGATCAGTGCTTTAACTTTTTCACTTTTACCCGGAAGAACACCTTCACAGGCCATCTCTTGAAGTCGACTGTATTTGTACTTCAGCTCAGTTCCGGTATTGGTTGGGTGGATAATGTACGTCACTAACGAACAGGTCTTTTTTTCAGCGTGACAGGATGAGAGGAGATGAGCTTACGTTCAACTGCCAAAGTGGAACGACATTCTCAGCCGTCATCAGGATCCTCGCTATCCGTACACCTACGCAGTGCCCCACTGGCTCTGCCATGAAAGTATCGCTATTTACGGGTACCAGGATTGCAATGCAGAATGGCATCTTCTGCTCCAACTCTTAGGATCCAGTGTGCGGTGAGTTCAACTGGAGTCCATTGTGGCTCATGTCGTCCATTCCTAGAATTACATTATTTTGTTGACGTTGCTTCCCTTTCGACGACCTGAGCTGAAGTTCCCTCCTCAGCTGTTCTTGTCGGCCGCTTGCATTCTCTTCGGGTGTCCCAACTATCAACAGTTCCGACAGCTTACAGCTCGAGTGGTCTTCGACAACAAACTCTTCGTTTCGTTGACCAGTTGACAAAGTTTTCTGACGTTGGTTAGCCCCTTCGTCGTCTTTGCTAACCACTCTTATTCGAGCTTGGATTCTTGTTGCTTCATTCACAAGTATCGTTGGACGAGCTAATCGGAGTGCCTGCTGAGCCTCAGGCACCTGTGCCGTCTCATTTGCACTGCTAAACACTCTGTCAGATTGTCTGGAGCTGATGGATAAGCAAGGCGCATCAGCCTAGCAAGATCCGCAGATTTCATCGACCTCCTACGGATTTTGGATTGCTTTCTGTCGACAGTTCTTCATTTGTGCCTAGTATTCCTGCCTCAGTCATCCTTATCGCATTTCCAGGTGCTTGACTAGCTGCTCGTAGTTGTCCATGTCCTCCACTGGTATTGTCGGGTGAACATTCAGGACATATTCTTGGAGGGCCGCAGTTAATGCGAGAGTGTTTACATTTACTTGACCAACCATTGGCTCGAGCTGCTGTCTCACACTGATTCAGATACTTCATTCTCGACGTTTTCCCATCGTATGTTGGAGATTTGAGCCTTTCTGCTAAAGGTGCAGATTCTTCAAGTCTTCACAACTAGATGTCTCGTTCAGCTAACTTCTATTCTATTCATTCTGGAGCACGACCAGCACAGGCAAATTCCGTCCTGAAGGCTCGAGTGTTGTGGTCCATCTTCTCTGAGATCTGCGTCAGATTTTGCGACAAGGCCTGTCTCTCTTCTTGACGAGTTTTGCCCGGAGACCACAGCTGGTATCATCCAGTTTCTCGGACAGTTTCCGCGAAGGGATCTGGTTTTACTTTCGGAGGGCGCAAGTTTTGTCGACCATCATCTAGGACAGGTTCAGCGACAGATCCTGCAGCTATCCGTCGACAGAGCCTGGTACTTCAAACTTCAACATCTCTGGATCCTCGCCGTGGCTCTGCAAGTATCCCCGCAGACGAACTACCAGCGTCCATCCAGAGGTGGCACTCCTCTAGCTCCATTTTAATGTCCACCCCTTTTAGTTCGCAATATTTTTCCACCAGTATTGTCCATGTTACACGCAACAAAAACGTTGAAGTGAACAAGGAAACAAAAACGTCAAACTAACTCGCACATGTAAGTATACGTGGTTTAATTTCTAGAGTTATTTTTTTTGTCATTTTGGAATGAATTGGTTGAAATTGTATTATTCGTAGACGGCTATAAAAATGTTTCGTCACTGGGCCAGTACTTTGATCAGTCCTAGACTGTTTGCTGGTCCATTTTGCAATAAGTATAATTTATTGCTTTTCCCCTACTTTGTATTCTATGTAATTTTTTAACTGCAAATTAACGCTATTATTATTACTCAACTCAGTAATATTTATAACACTTATCACCAACTGGTTACCGCTGGGGACGCCACTGCCACGTTTGAACAACCATGATATAGGCAACTACGAATACAAGTCATGCCTCATGCATATTATCTAGGATTTTGCTGCGTTTTATCTATCAACAATATTGTGGCATAAACGTCAGATAAGATAACCTACATGTAAAAATGTGACCTTCAAAAAATGTTGAAAATCACTGTTGAATTCAAGTTCCTGCCGTTCCTAGCAAAATAAAGCCAGCAGTAAGCAAATCCTCTCTACTACACGTCTATTGTTCGTAATCGACTTTCAATTCATAATATTGTAGAATGTGCGACTGCGAAAAAGGAAACAGAAGCATGGATATGAAAACCCCTCGGAATGTTCATTTATCCGCTTTTTATAAAAGAAGCTTCGCATTTCATACGGTCAAGAACCGTATGCCAATCATTTTAACCAATATCATCGACGGTCTAGTGAGAAATAAAGCAAACATCGCTAAGGAATATGGCATAGAATCTGCTGAAGAGCTAAAAACTGTGATTGGTGAGTTATCAGAATTGAAGTATGAAATCCAAACGAATAAGCCACTAAAGCCCTTAACAAGCACTGCCCCAGATGCTAGGATATATAACGAATATATTGCTGAACAAGCCACTACAGAAAATCCACCAACCCATTTTCATACTATTTGGTTGCTAACAGAATGCTACATGTACCGTAGAATAGCACAGGCATTTGAGAAGAGCAACACATTGAAGGACTACGATATATTCAGGGAAAGTAAACAAGAATCATTCACAAATAGTATAAAATTGATTCAGCAAATGGCAAAATATATAACAGAGCTTTTGTCTAACATCCAAAAACCAAGTAAAGATGATTTCATAGCTTTATTGAAATTGAATCTGTGGGGAAATAAATGTGATTTATCAATTTCTTTAGGCAAAATGACAGATCATAGTACATTGTTCGATACAGCTGCGCTAGATCCCCATATTCTGTCTGATCATAGTGAACAAATTTGGCAGGCTGTATCTGATACTCAACCAATGTCTGATATAGTTACAATAGTTTTTGATAATGTTGGATATGAGGTATTCACAGATTTATGTATCGCTGACTATATAATATCTACAAAAATTGCAGAAAAAGTCAAGATGTATGTAAAAACCATTCCTTGGTTCATCTCTGATGTTATGACTCATGACCTTTATTGGATGCTAAATCAAATGAAAACCACAAATGACAAATACCTCAAACCTTTAGCTGCAAAATGGTCAAATTATCTTGAAGATGGAACATGGAAAGTGATAGAATCAAACTTTTGGACTTTGCCTTTTGACTATACTCATATGAAAAAAGTGAATCCTGATCTGTACAATGAACTGTCTGAATCCAAAGTTGTGTTCTTCAAAGGGGATCTGAACTATAGAAAGCTGTTTGGTGAAAAAAATTGGCATCCTACTACTTCAGTTGAAGAGGGACTCCAAGGGTTTCATCCTGCAAAATTAGCTATTCTGCGCACTATAAAAGCTGATATTGTATGTGGATTACCAGAAGGAGTGGCTGAAAAAACTGAAGGAGAGGATCCGAAGTGGATGGAAAAAGGTGATTGGGGGCTAATCCAGTATTGTGGAAAAGTTGAACCAATAAATTGATTTTCAGGTTTTCATATTATCTATTCACTCTCCATTTAGTGCAATACAATTAGATTTTTTATATTGCAGCTATGAAACAAATATGTCTGTGATCATTTTAATTATGGCAACAATAAATTAAATGACAATGGACGTCTGTGGTATTATTAAAATTGAAACCATTAAATTTTTCCAATTTTGCTTATTTCCACTGCTAGATGCATAGCACCTAGCCTGTGTTGCCATTTACAACAATCTAACTCCTAATAATGCCAAAGTTAGATGTTTGATGACGTTTCAAGTTAGGAATAAGAAACAAAAGATTCTTATTCTAAAAATTCTGTGCAGTCAACGTAAACAGATTTTTTTAAGGGGTCATCATTTCAAGCCCCTGGTCATGAAAAGGTGTAGTAAAATTATGGCTATACATTTTACATGAGTCATTACGCAGCTTTGAGCCCTATCAAATATATAGTTACATAATTAAGATATAGTTGGAATTTTTGCCAGCTAAGGACTGATAACATAATATGTTTAACAAAATGGTTATGTTCAGTTACACGTAGCTGCTATGAACTAGAGCTATGTAAAAGTATGGCTGATCCCAGTTGCTGAAGATTGCACACTATCTGCTGGTACCTAACAAACCCTGTTTCACATGCGTGACTTCTGTGAATCAATCTCAAGGTTTTTAAAATCTCAAAGCAGTCCATTCAGTTAGCATCTAGGACTAGGCTAAGGCATACATCACACAGCGTTAGCACATTCAGTTGCGGTTAGCTGCATGAAGTATGGTTTAGCTCTGTTGCTATCACTAGATATACATTGAATCCGCTAACAGCCTGCACAGCTCAGCACTACATGTTTCACAAGTAACTTCTGTCAATTAATCTGAAGGTTTTCATAGTCTTCAAAATGGACAATACAGATGTTGTAATCTAGTACACTAGGCTAAACCATACTTGACGCAGCATAGCTCTGTCGCTATTAAAATCGTGGAAAACGTGTGTTACAAATCGTGCATTACCTTTGTTAGGAGTTACTAATTTTAACGTCCACCAAAGTTCATAGGATTAGTTTGTTATTGTGATTTCGAAATCGTGCTGCATAAATCATCGAATTAGTTTTTTTTAATTTAATTTTTTGGTATGAGGAGTTGATAGGTCACTACAAGACCTAGATTTACAAATAAACTTTTCATATCCATGTGGAACAGTCCCAAAGCAGTGAGTTTAAAACTTCTGCCATGTATGTACTTCAGTAGCATGGTGAGATCTTGAATAGACGTTTCGTCTATGTGCCTGGGCAGATCCATTTTGTATTTGAACAATATTTTGTATAGCTTGTCAATTCCATCATCCAACAGGTTGTATATATTTTGACATACTGATGTTGTAAGTATCCCATATGCCTAAAACATTTTTTTAATCTTTCCATCTTCGACTGCAAAATTTGAAAAAACAAAACTATAACATGTACTTATTGGAGATACGCGAGCTCATTTAGGATTATAATTAGCTTTGAGTTTAGTGTCATATACTTACTATATGCTGGATATATAAAAAAACGAGGATGATCTTGATCCAAAGCTGACAGTCTTCTTTAAAACAGCCGAGAAAAGTATTGTATTGATAAATCAAGAAAAGACCAACAGTCAGTAAAATCTGGAAAAACGCAAAATCATACAATTCTTGCAAGTATGTCAGGGTTTCAAAAACTATATCATAAGAGTCGGTGATCCCTTTAACAGCTTTCCTCACATCTTTTCGGGTATATTCATATGCCATGTCAGTAGAAAACATCATTGTGTTATACATACTTTCGTTTACAATTCGTATAGCTGATACAGTTCTTTGCACATTTATATTGACCTTCACAAAGATCAATACGCTGCTATAGTAATGATAATCTTGAAGCAGAGTTAAGGCCTTAAAAGCAAAAGTCACATCTTTTGAACTTAAAAAATATATAGTAAAATATATACAAACAGAAATACAGAGCAAACTACTAGATAAAAATAATATCCAGTTATATGTCCCACGGATTGAAACTCTTTTTCCTGTGACTTTTTCTATTTGGTGAATATTTTTCTCGAAGGCAATGATGGTTTTTCTCTTAAAAAACATCAGCTGTGCACTAAGTATGTTCTGACTGGAGAAATTGTATATTTGCCAGATTAACATTGATATAATCTTTGGAATGAATTCAGGGGGTAATAAAACAATCGATAAAAAAAATTGTGTGGCAAAATATATGAATATAGTAAAGACTGTTCCTCTGAAGGTACACCAATACACCAAGTAGGATAGTTTTAATTCAGGATTATCGTCTATTATGCAAAGTGTTTTGGATATGGTGTTGATAAAGTTGACTAACTTCGTCGCCGAGAACATTTTAATGATTTTATCTTTTGAGAGTCTTAGAGGAAAAACATCCTAAGTGGTATTTATGGATCCAAAAGCTCATCACTGCAAAGTACATAATGAAAAATGCATAAACGTTTATTAATTAGCGCTAGCTACATCAATCAAATGTAAGGTGAGAAAGTTCTGTGATTGATGACCTTTCAGTATAACAGAAATATTTTCCATTAAAAATATTGAATTCTATGATGTTCTACAGTGATGCTTTATCAGTTAAATACGCTGTCATTAATGAGTGAAGACGGAAGGCGGGAACACATTACTGTCGCACCACGTCAACTAATCCCTTGACGCAAACTCACGAATCAAAATTTAAATATGGATTGGTAGAAGAACGGGTGCTTGAGGTGACAACAGTATATTTATAAATGCATTCCCCTTTTGCCCAAGCTAGGTTCGACGTGTCGTGAGTTTACGTTACAGTTGAGTTCACGTGGTCAGATGCATCAATCAGTTTTGTGGTGACTAGTTAAAAACTTGGCCAAAAACAGACGCTGTTATAGGCAGGACACATTACAAAACTTTGTTTTCTGAGAACCGGGTCAGTGATGTTGAAATAGAAAACAAAAAAAAAACGAAAGAAAACTTCGTTTTCGGAAATCTCTCGGGCATTTCGTCCATTTCCTTAGTACTTGTATTATAAATTTTCGATTCTTAGCATCAAGCAGTACTATTAAAAGAGTTAAGATCGCAAGTTATTATTTAACTAAGTTTGGAGTTATCAAAAATATAATAGTAGCCTTTATGTTCATTATAAGCAAAGAATAATCACTGGCACTTCATACCCATCCCCAGAAACGCTGGTAGAATGGGTGGAGACAATCTGAAAAGCTAGAAGCGCTGGTTATGTTGGCGGTCATGACTAAGTTTAAAAACAAATATATCAATTGCTGATTAGCTGTACACGTCAACTGACGTCAAAACGTGAAGTATGAAAAATAAGTTACTTTTCTATCAAATCCGTCTTTTCCCCATATACTTTTGATAGATTGACCTGCAACACCAGCGCCGCCTAGAGGGAGCAAAAAATGGGCATTGTTGTAGTTCTTTCACTGAGCACGAATGAACTGGGTATAATCACATCATTTTCAAGTGGACACAATGACCTGAAAGTGGAACTGCACAAAAGGAGTTGATGTCTTGCAGCCAATAGGAATGTGCTTTCATGTCGTGCGAAGCGCTAGATAACACGAGGCAGCACTTTGGTAAACACATCCTACAACCAAAAGAGTTTCGTTAAATACATGCACGGCAACTGTACCTACTAGTACAGAATCAACAGTGTTAGTATACTGTAAACCACGAGAAGTTGCATGCAATAAGCCTTGAAGGCTGTATGGATCTTCGGGGAAGTCAGTCGGATGGCTCACGCATAAAAAATATAAATGCCACACCTTAATACCGCAAAGGCATCAGGGTGCGATGTAAATATATGTATAAATTCTTTATTAGCTCGCTTAAGAAACAATAAAATTTAAAATTTGATTTCAACAAAAATGTTAAGTTAAATCATACATCACATTAAAAATTATACAGATATACATGGTATGATTTTAGAATGTGTAAAGAATATTTTCAGTGGTTGCCAAAATACAAGGTAGACTTAACTAATTCCAACTGAACTAAATCGATAGAAATTTATTATGGATAACATTTTTTTAAAACAATATTCTAAATAAAACATCAGTTGGTTAACACTGCATACATTCAGGAAATGACAGAATAAAGGACTTTACATCAGAGGTCATTTGAGTCATACGTACACAGATATGAAATGCTGAAGCACTATCAATCTTCTAATATTACCTGAATGCGTAAATTTATTTTACCTTTATTTCGACAACTACAAACAAACGTTTAACTCTTACTAATTCATTTGCGTAAAAATTGGCAGACTTTAGGCACGTGGTACTCAATGTATTTTATGGAATTTAAAACAGCTCCTTGGTAAATGCTATGTGTCGTTCACCTTTGGTGTGCTTCTACCCCACAGCCAATTTAGGAGAACTTTCGACGGGCTTTGTACATCTCGAGCTGGAAAGCAAAGTTTCATTCAATATCTGGCAGAATGATATCACCGGTTTTGCGAAAAAAAAAAAAACAATTGCGATGATGTTAGTGAGATCAGAATATGTTAGTCTACAACTGTAGCTACTTAGTAAAGATGGTGTTTACCTTTGGTTAGATACCGATTGTAACTAATTAGTCCAGCTATTGAAGCACTCAAGATATGAAAACATAATAAAATCATAGTGAATGGAATTTGAAAAAACGGAACGGATCGTGAGTGATAGAGATTACATTACAATGAAAATTACAGTTGGAATAACACAGGGAGTATACATAGAATACTAGATCGCTACAACCCACCTAGTGGCGAGACTCAATATATAGCTTGCTCCAACAAACCGTTGAACCAGTTATGAACTGAGCAGAGCATGAGCAGATCGAAATTACCGTTCCAACAGAAAACGGAAATGATTCCGTAACTGACAGTTCTATATTCCAATAAATTCCGTACTGATTCTATACCGATTATGAAATGTTTCTGTGAGAATTTACACAATATTCCAACTCAATTAATAGCTTAGTGTTGTCAACATTCCACTTAACTTCATCCTCTGCAATAGTTGTAGACACCTTTCTTGGCTCGTTAAAGTAAGACTACCAGAATCCCTTTACATATCTCCATCTCCCTCATACATACACATGCAACCTACCCCTGTGTGCGTGAACGTTTGTGCGGTAAGCTCAAATACATGCGTTTTTTTGTTGTGTGTCTCCGTCTCGAAAACTTTGTCGTTACGTAAAAGTGCCCTTCAATCATACTTGTCAGAGTGACAACTTACTTGACATCGGCGTGCAATTTGAGTTATCCTGTTAACAATCTTCAATATAAAATTGTGCAATGCCCGGAAATATGATCATTGGAGAAGGCCGACAGCTCGTGCTAAATTTATTAGAGTATTTCCAGGAAGAGAATGAAAACACCGGTCCCCTGTTACCCACTGAAGAGAGTAGCAAATGCGCTGAAGATTAGTCTGCGCAATGTTCAGCGAATAAAATCACAAAATAAGAAAGATGTGTCCATAGTAACACCTGGAGAAACTCACAAAAGCAAAAAATGCAAGACCGATGATGAAGTGATGCCGTCAAAACAGAAATTAGGAATACTTTCTGCGATATGAGAATTAAATGACAACATATAACGACCTCTGCGCTCAATCAAAAGCTTAAAAAAGGTACATATACAACGCCTCGGATTCTAGTTTAAGACGTCTATTGAAAGCTTGCGGTTTTTCCTACAAGACAGACGATAACCGCCTACTCTTGTATGATAAATGAGATATTATATGAATAACAATGGTGCAAGCCCTCTCCAATGCGTTTTATTAGATGAAACGTGGATATTTACCAAAGGGCCGTTTAAAGGAGTTTGGCAAGATATAAACGTAAAGAGTTTGAAAAGCGGTCATCAGGGTTCCGGCAAGCGGTATGTTGTTCTCCATGCTGGGACCAAAACGGTTCTTTGAGAGATACTGCATTGTTATTTGCTACAAAATCAAAAAGAGCTGACTACCACGATTCCATGGGCAAAGATTCTTTCAAAAAATGGGTATGTGAGAAGCTGATACCAGCGCTACAAAAGCCATCTTTAGTAATAATAGAAAATGCCTATCATAGTGGCTTAACAGAAAAAATGCCCAATTCCATTTGGAGTAAAATGCAATTGAAGCAGTGGCTGCAAGACAAAAAGATACATTTTGATGAAGTCGCTTTTAAACTCGAGCGTTTGAATCTATGTCGTCTTAATAAACCATCGGCTCCAAGACATATCATAGACGATATATTACATGAACATGGACATCAAGTTTCGCGGCACGGGTATCACGTATCTTGAAAAGTGACATTATGCCGATTTCTTTGACATTACATATGCTGGTTTTTTGTGACATTATGTAGGTTTGTCTACAAGATGTTAACTTAGCACTTAGTTGCACGTGTTGCCACGTCATGAGGCTTGTTATCAATCTTTGGCTCTGATGTGATGTAAAATCTGCTTCTGAGATGGCATTACTGGAGGTCTAAGCTGTAAGTTTTATGTGTTGATGATATTTACATTGGGTTCTTGACAAAGCTAGAAATTAGTTGCGCATCCACTTTTTCTTATCCATTCTGGAAATTACATATACAAATTTGCTTAATTTAAAAAATGAGAGAGATAAGAAGTAATATTTACTGTACACTGTCGAATTACAAGCCATATACAGGCTAACAGTAATTACACACAATGCGGGTGCGGTGATGATTTACCGTAATTCTCCTCAGTTTTTTTGTAATTTATAACTTTGAACATAACCTCTCTTCAGAAATCACAACATAAAAATAACCTGTCTGGCAGCCAATAGATATACTTTGTTGGCAGCATATTCAGAAATGATTTTCTCACACAGCAAAATAAAAACTACAAACAAGGGCCATTTGGCCTAAAAAAACATATGCAACCAATAATGCGTGTAGTTTAGTTGAGTGATTCCTCCTTAGATGGACGTTCACAACGATCCTAGTGAGCAAAAGTGGAATGACTGTTTGCGCCCTTGAAACTACCTAGTTTGCAAGACGACATCTTATAGGTTTTTTTTGACGTTTTATAGGATTTTTACATGATACCCATGCGGCTCCCCCTTACATTTGTCAATACAACCATATCGGTTAGTTTGGGGAATAGCCAAACAGGACTATGATCGACATATTGGGCAAAATGGCTATGTTGACAAGGAGGTTTTGGAAGCTTGGGACGATGCTCTAGCGAAGGTGACTGCTACAGTTTGGCCCAAGTGTGTGAAACATACCGAGGACTTGATTAAAAACAACTGGGACAATCATCAAGTGTTTAATAGGGAGGAGACAAATACAATCATTCACTTGGGAGAAAGTTCAGTAAAAAAAAACAAAACACTCAAATTGCAGATCTAGCAAGCGGAAGTTGACAATTTAAACAACAAACCATGTAAACCCTATTTTATGAGTATCCATCACGTTTTGACGTCTACTGAGGTGAACACCTCATCAACAAGTGACATCTTTGTATGAATCTGTAACCGTTAGCAATAATGAATTGGGTGCAAACTAGTAAAACTTGCTCCTGGCGTCTTTTCTTTGTATGTGAACAAATGAAAGAGTTGTTAGCAAGTACAAAAAAAAAACAAACCAATATACATCTCTGTCTACCTGGCCTCGACGGATCCGTCAGAATTATGTGTCATTTGCCGATATGGGGAATTTTGAAATACACTAAATAATCATCTGTCATTCTACTGTAATGGATACTCTTGAAAAATACAATAATTCTCTGTTCCAACAGAATAGGTCTGAACCTCGGGCATGCGCAGATAAATAATTCGGAATTAATTCAGAATTAGTTCGGAACTGCTTGTTGAAACAAACCTTATAAATGCTACACTCCGTATGATAGTCCAACTGTGTAGTACTCGTGGTAACACACTGTATATGGTATACCGCAGATAAAATTTTAATTATATAAAAAATGTTTGTTTTCTTCAGAACACGAGTCAAAAAAGTTTTCTTAATATTCATAACCATATAATAGAACATCATAACATCTTAAACATGTTTGTTGAGAAATTAAGATCGTAATTGTCAAAAAATGTTTACCTATTTTGAAGCCGTGTCAAAAAGGTTAAATGTACGAAGTTAGTGTATTTGTTATTAAAATGAAAATAAATAGGACTTACATAAGGTGTAGCTAGCATCCACCAATTTAGCTGCAGCTTCGGGAGGTAACTTTGCGGCTTCCTGGAAGTGCTGCTGCATGATAGACAGCTGCTGCATCCGACGCGCTTCTTGCTCGTCCACGAATGTTTTGTCCTTCTTGTACCCAACATTCTTCAACTCAGATAACCTGAAAAATTGATCAGTAAATCCAACGGTCTACTACAGGTTTGCATACTGAAGCATCGATCATCTCAAAAAAGTCGATTTGAAACCAAATTCCAATGCATAATAATCTACAGTTGACAACTGGTATAAAATCTATAAGTAGGTACTTTCATCAATTCAACAAATTCTTTGCCTTCATGTTAGAAAGAAAAAAATCAATATTACTAGCTTACTTTGTAGCTAAGCTCTGTCTATCAGACTCCTCAAGCGGTTCTGTCGCTAGCTCAGTACCTGAGGCTGCTAAAAAGATGGCGGACGATTTTGACAGCTCAGATTTCATTGGTGAAGTGGACGCCGTGCTTGACGATACACCTGGAATAAAACACATAAAGTCAAATAAAAGCACTAGACATATATTTTTACTTATTAGCAAATCAGTATCATAGCGTCTTGGGCGGTCAAGTGGTGAAGAGGTGGATTTTTCATTTCAATGCCCTATACTCTGGTTAAAGGACATTAAATTAGGCTAACTAACCGCAAACACATATGACCTAAATACATATTGAGCCTTCTTGTAGTTTTCTGCTTTATTAGATTTTTCCAAAGTACACCACTTTTATACATCTACGTCCGAAAGTAGGCGAAAATCGAGTAGTAGATGTAGTTTTAGAGTGGTGCAATATCCTTTTACGATCTTTTCAGCTTTTAAAAGTCATATTCACATGCTGCATTATTGAGTGATAATCTTCTTAAAGGTAAGTAATTAAGTCTTATAAAAAAAAACGTAAAGGCATCATTTTCACGTACTTTTCACACCCTATTTCGGGCAGTTCTGTATTGTATATATATATATATATATATATATATATATATATATATATATATATATATATACGATATTTTTTGTATTGAATGACTTCGATATATAATAATATTTATTCCCATCAATTATAAATTGTTAATAAATTGATATACCACAAAATATTACCTATCATTTATCCTTGAATTATCAACATTTCCATACAGAATTGAATTATCCAATAGGGCGGTGACTAGTGTAAAATAGTAAATGCAGACTAGACTTTCCTGCACTTTTCGGGTTTCACTTACGTATTTTTGATCATTATATTAGTACTCATACCTTCGTAAAACGTGAAAACGTGTTTTTCACATGCTTTCTACTCCCTATTTAGAGTAGTTCTGTGTATATCCAATATTTTGTATATTCAATGAATTCTGTTGATGTTGGTTATCCTATAATTATGTATAATTGTGTGCGAACACTTTATTTTTCGATGAGAGATGATTAGTGTGCTAGGGATAGCGCACTAGATTTCTCCGCACCATTCGGCTTTTCAATAAATATTTTTGAATACTCCTAATGATAAAAAATAATTTTCACGGGATTGCGTTCGTTTCGAGAGGGGCCGAACGACGCCTGATCTTAAAATTGTACTTTAGTAGCAATTATAAATTTACAGAAAATGTTGAGCATATTTGTTGAATTTTTTTTTGGATGGTAATCACACAAAATATTTAATTTTGTTTTGTTTATACTCCAACTACCACGAAGGCCTAAGGCCTAAACACCCATTGGGTACCGTGGGGCTATAGGGGGATACAGGGGAAAGGGGAGACGCCACACGGACTCTGGCGAGGGAACACGTGTGCATGCAACATGCACACATTCTGGCTCCGCCTACGAGATCCGCCGGGTGGTACCGCCGCGTTCGACAGTCAGAGACCGTCTACCACCTACGGACAACATCCATAGCCAAGAGAAAAATTTCTCCTGGGACGGGACTCGAACCCGCACAGCGCACGGCGACTGATCAGGAGACCGAAGAGTCTACTACTGCGGCCACCGCTGCTGCCTAAAATAGATGGCACTTTGAGCTGTCTTATTTCGATAGACCTTCTCTGGATAGAGGATAGTTACTCAGCTTTCATTCACTGTCATACCTGAGACCAAGCCTATACCATGCTGAGGAGTTGCCAAACAGCACGAAACAGCTGTCCATGGTTGGCCGTCTGTGGTGCGACGAATGAAAGCTATATTACTACTTCAGCATTTAAGTTCTGGCAGTTATTTCATGTTTTCTGTTTTTGTATACTGATATAAGCATTGATGTAATTTATAAAAGCTCTTATAAATATCTTTTTCGCATTACTAATCTACGTTACAAAATTAAAGTATTACATTTATATTATATAGATTTTTTCTAATCAATCAATTTATTGCAATTACTGTGTTATATGTTATGTTATATTTGTGTTATAAGGACATCCACACAAGTATATTTTCCTTTTATAGCATATCAATTTGTTCACAATTTGTAATTGATGTGAATAACTAATGTGATTATTTTGCGCTTTTTGACAAAAAAACAATGAGATATAGCGATTTTAGTAAAATCAATCCATATTGTTTTCTGAAATTCTGGATATCCTAATCTACATATATCTGCGACATCTAGGAGTTATGATGGCCAATTTGCTAAAAGCGCGGAGAACAGTAACCATGTTATACGGAATGCTGCCAAATTTGACGAAAACAAAACTACTTAAGAATGTATGCACCCAAATCGTTTGTCGTAGGTATTTAACCGAATATTCAGTCATTCGAATCACGTCAGAAAAAAGCGTGACGTGATTATGACTTCCGGATCTAGGAGCTACACGGCAACGGCGTCACAGGATCACGGTGCTAATTTTGTATAGAATGAAGGATAATCAGTCAAGGTCAGAGCAGTTAGGCTCCATTGGATACTTGTACGTCCTCCCCAGGGCTGAATCGTCAACCACCCGAAACTATTGAAAGAGATGGTGATGCGACCCTGCGGAGATTTCCTTACACTGATCATAGGAAGGCCAATGTTCCCCAAGAATGGATTCTCGGAATGACAGGACCGCTTGGCAAGTGCTTAACTGTCTCATCTTCTTGTTCACATCCTCGACATAAGAACATTTCGCTGAGTCTCATGGTATACGGTGAAGTAAAAATTTGGTTGACGTCGTAATGTGTACGAGAGAGAAGCGCGAGACGCGTGCAATATGTTAGGCAGAGTGCGCTGATGGCAACGCGGCACCACGGCTGCGTCCGTGGCTTCGTCACTCGGGTTGCTAGGCAACGAGGTGCTTCTATTTCTTTCTAAAACTAGTATTGCATGCTTTCCTCTCGTACACATTACGATGTCAGTCGTATATGGATTTCACTGTAGTGATGTTTCCTTAGCTGGCAAAAGAAGTGCTGTTGGGACAGACAGGTAGTATTTAGCCGGCTCTTTACTGAGATATCCAAGGATTTTTTTAGCGAATAAGCAGCCTGACGTATCATCCCACATGTTCTGGAAAATTTTGTGGGTGTGCTCTTTAAACGTAGTTGTCATGGCTCCTATACGTAGGTAGAATGCATAGGAGCTCTGGGCCCAGTACACTGGTCTCAGTCTATCAGGTATGGTGTTTCGCTTGAATTGTGAGTGACCCTTCACTCATGCAACAGTTATGTTATTACTGGTGGATGCACCCACAGGTGCCAAGTGGCAGTTCGTTGTAAGTTAACATGATGTGGGTGAAACGTGCATGCGCGCTATCCGATAAAGCTTATCATGGCCAGCAAACGATATGGCGCCTTAAAGGTTTTTGATAGGTTGCTCCACGCGATTTTATCACGGTATTTTACTCAGGATATCAGTATACCCATAACCTCATCGTTATTTCGAAAGTCGTGAACACGTCATGGCTCCAAATCACTGATATAAAAAAAGTAGTCGGTGTGGATGATTCTGTAGTGACTGTGAATGTCGGTTTCTACAGTGCGGTTGATGCTCGTTCGAACACGTTGACACGATTGTCGTTCATATAATTTGCAACACAGGTATGCCATTTACCTGATAAACGCTAAAAGAGCGACGTTTTTGTCGGTCTTATAATATGTCACTCAAATGTATTTTATGGGTTCTCATCCTATGAACTAAAGTGAACTTTTTCCTCTAACCTGTAACTTTTTGCCTAAGTTCCTCTTTTTCCCTAATAGCATTGGACAGTCTCAACTGCAAAGTGTCTCTCTCTTCCAGCAACTGTGTCAACTCAACGGTCAACTCCTCGCATCTTACGTCACGTTGGTGCAGCATATATAACGCCAAGTCCAGCTCTGCACGACTCACCGGTTCTGAGAGGTCTTCATCTGGTGCTGGAGGAGCGGAAGGCTGTGGAAGAGCTGATGTGTCCGTCTGAAAAAGAGGTGTTGTGGTGGTTAAATTCTTAACGTTTCAAACAGATGGTACAAGAATAGTAGGTGAGAAAACTGCCTAGAGATGTAATGCTCTTATATATGTCACTGGGACAGTGTTCAGCACCCTTATTACATACCTTCTAAATGATAGTGATCGAGATTGTTAGACGCCTTCATTTCTACTACGTACTGGCTATTGTTCACTTGTAGTAGCTGTGTGTGATGCCTAATCATCAAGTATGTGCTGTTGGGGTGATGTTTTCGACTTTATCGTAACATATGCTACAGAGATGCCAATAGCAAATGGCATTCATAAATTTTATGTCCTAAGCTCTAAGCTGTAAGTTCAATAGTACAATCAATCCTCCAGCCAGTTGGCGTTCACAGCGAGTAAACATGACTTGGGCTATCCGACTAGTTAGTACCTGGTATAAATCACGGCGATATCGCTTAACATGGCGATTATATCACATATTACGGGTGCGGGACATCTAAAAAGTTGAAGAAAACGGTGATAAGCCCACATATCGTTGGACTTTCAACAATAAGCATACCAGAATCAGTCAGAAAGACTGGTTATGAACTCTAGCATTGGAAATGAACACATTTGACTTCATTTTTCTATTAAAATTATATAAAGTTAATATTCTATTTGTATTCGGTTTATTTTGAGTAATACTTCTTATGACAAAAGTATACGTACTGTTATCTACTTCAACCTGGTCAATTGACCGACTATGGTAGAAATAATAAGTGTTGGTATGTTCAGTGTTACAAGCGTTTTTCAATCTCAGGGTAACTGTAATTTTCCCAAGGTGGCTTTAATGCCAAGTTTATCCTAAACCGGTAGTCAAGTTTAACGAGAGTACTTTCGGTAGGTTGACTGCCTAAGTTGTAGTTAAACAGCAAAGCTTAAGCCCGATTTTTCAATCGCTGGTTAACTTTCAAGATAGGTAAGTATGACAACGAAGTTAATGATTAGTTGCATGTGAATTCGTTGTTCAAGTTCTGGTTAACATTTAATAAACCGTTGGTACGGCAACGCTGCTTTTAAGCGTGAATTACCGTGTTGTATGCACTTTGTGATGTTCGATATTGTTGTCTCGTGTCATCCATGAAAACTTATGTCCCTGTCCAGCACACTAGGCTGCTTGACCACTATAGTTATACCATCCATGGTGCCCTTGTGTATCCCGGCATCAAACTAGCATCGGATTCGGAATTTATGCATCTGATTTACTCAGGAAACTAGTCTCAATCCATATCGAAGCATAAAGACTTCACAGAGCAAAATTTCCTTTTTCGCCACCCTTTGTTACAAACAAATGAAACCCTACTTAGGTAGTATGGGGAGGTGAATAATAATCTTAAAGTCAAATTATCGTGACGTGTTAAGGCGCTGAAATTATGAAGGAAAATGTATCATTTAGGAAGCCTTGTGGATCCTAGCGTCAAACTGTAGCCGGATATGGGATCTATGCTGCCGATTCACCCAGAAAACTTCCTCATGATAAATGTTTCAAGAGTCTCACACAAGCGTCATCTATTGTATTTGCATTGACCTTATACATACTACCGATAAATGTTGTTTTGATCTGCATCGGTTCGTTGTTCTACCTGAGCCTAAGCTTATACCATGCTGATGATTGGCAAAAAGCATGAAACAGCTGTATACGGTTGGCCGTCTATGGTCGGATGGGTGAAAACCGTATTATTAAGGTTCAAGCCCAAAATATTCACGTTGTTACAAGAAAATGAAACTGGGTATACTTAGATAATATAGAGCACTGAATAAGAATACGAGGATAACCAACAAAAAATTGTGTAGTTTTTCAAGTGGGGCTAAATGTGATCTAGAAAATGTGTCGCTTGTGAGCTCTCTGGATCCTAGTATTTAAATGACCTCGGATTCGGAATATATGTAACCGCATTAACTAAAGCCTATTTCATGAGTATCTATCACGTTTTGATATCCACTGAGATGAACAGCTGAAAGCAAGTGACATCTTTGTATTAGTCTGTAACTTTGGCAATAATGAATCGGGTGTAAATCTAGTGAAACTGGCGTAGCGTTTTTTTGATTTTATGGAAATGAAATTTTCTAGATAAATGAGTTGTTAACAGGTACAAAATGAAACTGTAACGGTATAAAAAACAAGATAAAATATGACGATCAATATTACTAGATAATTAGCTGTTATTCCACCATAATGGATACCCATGAAAAAGACAATAGGAAACGATTTGATTGTGCAGATCAAAGATGCATAGCGGCTTTTGATAATTTTCTCACGAGAAACCGTTAAATATTTAAAGGATTCCTTCAACAAGTATCGGGATTGGTTCGCTGTAGCGTCAACAGAGCGGTGGAGGGGGGTCCGACCTGTCAGGCGCACGTTAGTTCAGTCGTCAGTCGCCTGCGGCTATGCGTTGAGACAGAAGGTGGATTTTTGTGACGTGTGATTTTTTGTGGTGTCGTCGCGCCAGCATGGAGCGCACCGTCGAGCAACGCTAGTAGTGAAGTTTTGCTTTAAACCCGGGAAATACGCGTCGGAGACCCTTCAACTCATTAAACAGGCTTATGGGGATGATGCCTTAAGCCGCACAAGAGTCTTTAAGTGGCACAAAATGTCTGAGGAAGGCCGGGAGCACGTCAAAGACGAACACAGCGTCGGTCGCCCGACGACCGCTCGAACCGATGCTCAGGTGGCCAAAGTGAAAAAAGTCTGCAACGTTGCCTCAGCCTCCCTACAGCCCAGACCTGGCTCCAGCTGACTTTTTCTTGTTTCCGCAAATAAAAAGGACATCGGGTCGAATCCATCGAGGCGGTTCAAGCGATGACGACAAAGACTGTCAACAGTATTCCGGAAGCCGACTTCCAGCGGGCTTTTGACGAGTGGCCGAGGCGCCGAATTAAGTGTATCGAAGCAGGAGGAATGTATTTTGAAAATCATTAAGTAATTCTAATAATACCTGTAATTCATTTTGATTTTTGGAACCAATCCCGATTCTTATTCAAGGAACCCTGTAATTAGGTCTTTGTAGCACACTTTCGGAAATTTAGCCGATCTTAGAACCGCACCTACTATATGTGCATAATCGTCTATGAACAACATAACTCCAAAGGTTTTTCTCTCAACACTACACATTTTTGGTGTAATAATAGACAAAATCTGTGATTACCTCTGAGTGCCTGGGTTGCTCAACAACAGGCTTATTTTCAAGCTCAATTCCAGCAATCAGACTATCATAATCGCTACTCTTCTGATACAACTCCTTCTTCAACTGCTCGATTCTCATCACCTGATCTTCAACGATTTTGTTCATCTCCTTCATATGATTCTCCTTCTCTTCTGATGAAGCAGTCTGATGAGCAAACATAGCTTCTAATTCTTCTATCCTCTGAATTAGGTCTTCTTTTTCTTTTTCCAGTGAGTGGTGAATGTTCTGCTGATGATCTTGAATGTTAGCAGTGTAAGTATTGAATTGACTTTGGAGAGACTGCATCTCTTGATCCTTATTGGTCAGGACCTCTTCGTAATAGCTCTCAAGGTCTCTCAAGTGGTTCTGTCTAGATGTTTCCAAACCGGCGGCGTACTCTTTCTCTTTGTTCTCGATCTGCGCTTTTAAAGAGCTGACTTCGTTCTCCAAAATTTGAACGTTCTCTTGCGAGTAGTTTAGTTGGCCACTGACGGTCTCCAACTCGTTGGTTTTATGAGTAAGTTTTTGGGTTACATCAAAAAGTTGTTGCTGGCAGTCTGATAGTGATTGTTGCAATACAGCGGCATCTTGCTTTAACTGGTCTATGACGGAAGTCAAATGCTCAACATCTTTATTGTTGTCACTCTTTAGTGATTCCGTTTCTTTCAAGCGCTTCGCTAAAGATTCGATTTCTTGTTTCTTTTCGTCCGAAGTCTGAAAAAATACATTAAAATACTATATATCTGTAGGAAACATAAATTGTCCACTAACAAATAGCTCTCTGAAACACCCCTCTCGAATTATGTAGGATTAGACTTTTTAAGAAATATTTTGAATAGTTTATCTCCAATAGAGTATTTTTTAGGTACTTTATTGTGAAGCAATTTGTGGATCTTTATTAGAACTTCCTATTCTTGTTTACCTTCATGTTACGACGCTTTTCAAAATTCACAGCATTTCGGGAATCTTGGAATCTTCAATCTGTTCTAAAATTACTTCAAGAATTCTAGAATCGAGATAATCAAAGTTGCTAAAATCAAAATCGGTCATTGCGAACAGGGTGCTCAAATAATGGCATATTTTTCACTAGCTTTGGCGGGTATACGTATCACCGTCATACGAAATGAGTAATCAAATCGACTGTGTCATGGGACAAGTCAACTTTTTTAAAGGTTGCATACTGTCCAAACTCATTCTTAACGCAGCTGCTAGTCGCCTCTGCACACTTGAAAATACTCCATGAATTTAGCGCAAACTGATAACATTGTCCGCTAATTGCATTTGCAGGCTCTGCCATATTTTATATGAAAGGTCAAAATAAAATTGCATGTTCATGACAAGTGAGCCATCATACTGACAACAAGAAAAACACTCACACGTAACGAGAAATTTGTCTAGATACCAAGACAAAACTAAAACACATGACTGCGAGTTTACTGGGACACACACAATAGTGGATTACGTGTCTGTGTGTTACCGTGAAAGTCACTGGTGAGTATGTCGGCATACACCAAATGAACTGTTGTAATTGGCTTTTCGGCGGTAGCGTGTTGCCTTCGCATCAGCCTTACGCAAGGTTTGAGAAAAAATTACTTTCCATGGATGAGATTACAATTGAAGAAGTATCGCTAAGAGAAGCAGCTCATGCTAATTCAAAAAGTGGAGGACAATGCTATACACGTTGTAACTGCAAAAAAAGTGTTCTACGGCTAAATGTAAAGGCAAGGAGCAATTCGAAGTTCATTCAAGAAATTCAAACTGTTTATGTATGGCGGTAATCTTGATATTGTTTTAGTTATTCTTCGTTATTTGAACTGTTTATTTCAAGGACAATAATAATGTACTTATGTTTATTTAAACATTTTTTTACATATACAGGGTGTCCGGTAAAAGGAGGTCAATCCGTTAACCACATAGTCTTTGGGTGGAAATAATAGGACTTTTATAATGCCATTTTCCATTGTTTGCAATCAAATTTTCGCGAAATGCGCGCTTCAATAAAAGAAATATATGTTAAAAATTTTATTTGTATATTTCGAGAAATGCCTAAATTATTGGAAAAAACATTTCTTTTTACTGATTTTCAACAACCCTGTATTCTGAACAGGAAACCTCAAAATGAAAAATGGCTATACGAGAGCCCTATTATTTTCACCCAACAAATATGTGGTTAACAGATTGACCTCCTTTTATATAAAAAATATACCTACCTAATAATATAACAGTTTTATTTTTACTTCATAAAAATGTTTTTCAACATACACCAAAAGCGTAATGTAAATGTTGACATTCGCTAGTGTATGTCAGAAATAATGATATTTAACCAATAATTCGGATATACCCAAGCAACTTGGTGAATGTCGACATTCACTGGTCGATCTCGACATTCACCGGATTTCGGACTTTCGCAGTAACATGTGTATCAGGGTGATGGAGCATGAGTTACACTGTGACCCACCAAAATCGGTCAAGAGACCTATAAATAGAATATTATGAGTGACAGTGACTCTATGGATACCTTTTTAAGCGATTCAGTTGTGGTCTTGTACTCCATGAGCTTCGATTCATAGTCCTGAATCATCTGAGAGGCAGCGACTTTCTCATTCTGAACAGCAGCGAGCTCCTGTTTAGTTGTCTCCATCTGAGCTTGAAGAGTTGTCACAGTGTTTCGCAAATTAAAGATCTCTCCGTTGTCGTTCTGGAAGGCCACCAGTTGAGCCTGCATTTGAGCAATCTGTTCATTCAAATGCTGTGTTTGCTGCTCTTTCTCTTGCTTATTCAACTCTAGTTGAGCCTGAAGAGCTGTTATAGTTCTGTTTAGATTGATTATTTCTGCGTTATCATTCTGACTTAATTTCAGGTCAGATTGCAGCTGAGTTAGCTGTTCATTCAGTTGTGCTATTTGCTGTTCTTTATCTTTGGTCAGTTGGAGTTGACTTTGCAATTCCTCCATGATTATTTGTTTTTCGCAGGCGAGAGGCCATGGTGTGGTGGTCTCCAAAAGTTTCACAACTTCCTCTACGATCTGTGGAGAGATGAGCGTAAGAATCTAAGTATGACTGTAAACACATTTTTTTCGAGGTTACTCGTAAAAGGTACTGAGATTATTGAATGAAATAGTTATTTGTGTATTATAAGTGTAACGTATAACTCTGCCGCTCGAGAAGTATGTTCGCTTTGCCAACATATCAAGACAGCGCATGTAGTTTATGCTAGAATTGCATAATGTTCAGCAATGTAGTGATCAACATTTCTTATATTTGATTTAGTCTTTTCAAAAACCTCAGTCAGACAATTTGATTCTATTAGGAATCAATAAAAAACTCTTATTCACAAATGAGCTTGAAAAAACATGTTTGAGCTTTTAATATAGTATTTAAGTATAAAAATATGAAATGTCGAATAATCCCCACAGTTTCTTAACAATAATAATGAAAACTGTCCTTGACTTATGCTTTTTAAGCAAGGAATAGGGTTAGTGGTATATCATTTAAGGAAAACAATCATATTGATGCAGGTCAATGACTCAAGTCATTGTTTATGCAATAAACGTCTATTACTCGGCATCATTTAAAGTGACAGGGCTGGATTGATTTTCATGGTTTATACCGAAAATACACATCTACCATTAAAAGCGTTTTCAGCCAAAAAATCATGTTGGAAAATATATGACCAAAATTGGTTTTTGAAATTGCCGATTCAGTTTTAAAATCGGTAAAAACACCTACATATAAATTGTTCATCATAGTATGAGTTTAAAAAACGGGAAGAATCTGCCGTATATCATAATTTTTCCTCTTACGATGGATCCTTGCAAAATATAAACTTTGCATGCTAGGCTGCGAGCAATAAAATATACGTACTCTTCCGATTGGTTGTATAAAAATATAAATTGTAATAAAATAGCAGATTTCATAGTCCTACCTCACGTTGTTCCTCAAATTGATTTTGGGTGGTGGCAACTATTGTCTTCAAATCTGCGATCTCCGAATCCTTTTCTGAGAGTTGACTACTTAGAACATCTTTTTCTGTTTCCAAATATCTATAAAAATTCATAGAACTTATAAAAAGTACTAGCAAACTAACTGTGTCATACCTCAATCTTTCAATTTCTGCTTGCAACTCTTGTATCTTTTGTTGTCTATCATTGATTTGCTGCTGCAAAGCTGACACTCTATCTACCTCGTTTCTAATTTCTGCATCCACATTTTTACGTAGTTCATTATTTTCGTTGACTAGAGCATTACATTTGGTCTCTAATTCGTCTATTTCGGACTTCAACTTATTTTGGACCTGTGCAAATTCTGCCTCTACGATGCCTAGGTGATACTTCCAGCTTTCAGCAACTGCATTACCTTGAAAAAAATTGGATAAACTCGATAATCAGTAATATAGTTCAGTTTTTTAAGGGTAGATAACTTTCATTACACTCTTTTTACGCACCTCTTTCATCAACTTGCTCTTGCCATTTCTTCTCCAGATCTTCAGCAGCTCTAGCTATTTCTTCGCCCATTCTCTTTTTTAATTCTTCGACTTCCCTTTCACTCTGCTCTAAAACTGCTTTCAACTGCTCCACTTCTTTCTCTGAAGCCATCACTTGGTACCGGCTTTCTTCTAAAGCATTTGATAACCTTTCGGCTTCTTCTTCATAATCGAACTTCATCTCTGCCAATCTCAGTCGTTCTTCCTCTAACTCTTTCTCTAGCACAGTTATTCGTTTACACGAGTCACTGTACTTCATATTTACTTCAGTTAGACTCTGCTCAAGCTCACTCATCTTCAGTTTGTAGTTTTCGAGTTCTTTCTCCAGACTACTTTCCTCAGTTTCCATTTCAAGCAGTTTTGAGTTCAGATTCTCAACATCATTGCCACCCTGTTTGTACTTTTCCAATTCATTCTTCAATTTGCTCTTTTCATTCTCCAGCTCAGTTAGGCTCGAGTTCAGTGAGTCTATGCGCTCATCGGTGCTCTGCTTATAACTTTCCATTTCCCGCTCCAATGTACTCTTTAGACTCTCAAGTTCTAGAAGTTTTGAATTTAATGTTTCTGCTTCACCACTGCTTTGCTTGTAATATTCCAACTCCCGCTCTAAATTGCCTTTGTCATTTTCTACCTCCCAAAGTCTGGTATTGATTTTCTCAAATTCAGTTTGATATTGTACGTTCAACATCTTAATTTGCTCTAACTCATTTGCAAGCTCTGACATGTTAGAGCTTGACGTTATTTCATTTTGCAAGTGAGCATTTACAGTTTCCAATTCTTTGAACCTTCTAGTCTGTTGTTCCATTTCAACAACACACTGATTATTGTTAGACTGCAGCTCAAGGTATTCACTCTTCAATTTATCAAGTTTCTCTTGCAGTTCTTTGATTTCACATTGGAACTGCTCATTTAAAGCATTAGACTTATCGTATGCCTGCTTCAATTCACTCAAAGCCGAATCTTTCTCATTTACCAACTGTTCGAGTTGAATTTTCTGTTCAGTCAACTCTGCAATATCAACAGTGCTTGTCATAGCTTTATTTTTCTCAGCTTCAATTCTCAACTGTCTTTGTTCGTTAAGAAGCGACTGGAGTTCTTCGTTGTCCAACATGAGCTCTTGTATGGTTTTCTGCAAGTCTTCTGCGCCTTCAACTTTGCTCTCAACTTTATGTTCTTCAGTGAAACCGTCGCTACTCCATTCCTGCTCGCGGAGTTTTTTCTCGATTTCATCGTATTTTCGTTTCCAATGGAAGACTTCTGATTCCTGTATTTCCTTGATCTCAACCATTTTCTCGTTGGCAGCTGTCAAAATGTCCACCCTCTTCAGAATATTAGCTTTTTCGTGTTTTTCCTTGTCGAGCTCTGTTTGTAACTCCTTTATTTTCTTCTCGAGCTGAGCGATTTGAGTTTTTAATTCCTCCTGTATAGTTTCATTCAAATCAAAGAAATCGTCACCGTCTGACTTTCCTTTCTTTAGCAATTCATCATTCTTCTGCTTGAGTTCTTTACATCTCTTCACTAACTTGACAGATTTTGCTTGAAGCTGTTTTATCTCTTCCAAACAATTATCTCTCTCTGTTTGTATTGAGTTGAGTTTCGATTTGAGGCTAGATATTTCTGCTTTTAAGCCAGCATTTTCGGAGTTCTGGATATATTCTTCTTCTAGTTTTCCTTCTTCAGGTCCCCAACCCCAACCATCATCATTTTCTCCAGAGGCTTCCACACCGGGGTAGTAAGTAAGGTATGCTTTTTTAGGCTGAGCCACCTAAATAATAAATATAAAAATAGAATTTTATACATAGACTATACTACTATACAATTGTAGGACGCTTATATGGCCTCCTTAATTTTCTTAGTCTTTCCTCCCCTTCAGAAAGGCTGGGGTATTTCTAGATTTCTACTGTTCCGTGTCAGCGTCAGCGCTCTCCTACGGTGAAGTTTTGTTTTCTTTTTGAATAGCAGGAAATTTCAGGCTGCTAAAATAGATGATATAAATCAGGAACATGAAAAATTTTACGGAATTGATATTTGTGACATAACCTCAAAGTAGAGCACTGACATGGAACAATAAGAAACTAAGAAAATCAAGGTCACAAAGGCATCCTACAATTGTAGGAACGACTGACGATACGGCCCTAAGAGCGAACTGGCACATATGTTGTGCTTGACAGTAAGTTCTGAACTAATTCGGTACAGAAAACTGTAGACAACTGGCACAAAAGATGTGTGGAGAATTAAGTGCCAAAACAACCAACAGAGGGCAGGATAGGTTGTAAAAAGAACAGTATTTGTGAATTGATCTACAAATACAGTTCAACTGGTGATTTCTTGGGTAAAACAGTTCATATAAATGTGGAAAATACTACGCTTTCATGATACAGTGTGACAAACTTTATTTGAAAGTCCTTTTTTTGTAAAAATTCAATCCCTTGACCGATTTTGCTATGCTTTATTAATATTCAGATGGTAATGACGTATCGCCGAGAATTTAGATAAAGTTTCATAAGAAAAACGTGCTAATAAAAAATTAAAAAGTTGAAATCCGATGACCTATATGACTTCGTTGGGATGAACATATCAAATACATTAAAAAGAAACTTAAGTTTTTTATTATATAAATTCAGATATTAGAGACAAATTTTGAGTGAAACTCAATTAAAAATTTTATATCAAACATTAGTTGAATGCCACATAACCTATGGATTTATTATCTGGGGATCCACAAATAATAACCATCTAAATTCTCTACAAGTAATACAAAAACTATTCATAACAAACCTTTACTATATCCATCCAAATCGCTGTTTATAGAATCAAAACTTTTAGGTATAAAAAATTTTTTTTGGTATAATGTTATACTAGAATTCCATAAAAACAAACATTCGACCATCATAACTTGATATAAACATGATGTAATTTATAAAAAACTAACACATATCTTTTCTTCATAGCTAGTCTACGATCCAAAATTAATGTGCATATTACATTTATATCATATAATTTTTTTTACGTCGGATCAGTTTATTATAACTGCTATGTTATATGCATGTTGTGTTAGCATGATATCCACATACAATCAATGTGAATAAATTATTATTATTAATGCTTGTACATGAATTTTTTAACAAAAGTAATCAAAAAGTGAATGACGATTTTGCCGAAAAACAAAACTTTGACTCCTGTATTTCGAAAACGGAGCATTTTCGAACATTCGTTTAAACTTTTTTCGTTAAATTACCCATGAAGCCACCCCTTGAATGTTGTCTAGATATATTATATGCCCCTTATAGCCCCACGGTACCCCATAGGTGTTTAGGCCTTAGGCCTTCGTGGTGGTTGGAGTATAATAAAAATAAAACACACCCCTTTACGACCCAATAACAAAACTATATTTTTTGAACAAAAATACTTTCTTTTAGTTCTGAAATGATTTTGATATTTTATTATACTACGACTTTGAAGTTGAGTCATTAATTTTCAGATGATTGTAGAAGGAATATAAACCAAAATATGTGTGTAAAAATAAAAAGAAATGTTACCTTGTTTTATAAAGTATCCTCCCGACAAGTATTTCAGTGCGGACCTGTATTTGATCGTGCGGTCTTGGAGCACCGGCATGCCCTCCCCTGTGAGGTCTTAAGTCACCTGATTCACGAGTTCGTTGTACTACATTAACAAAGGCACGAGGGGTTGGTTGCACTCGATTGGGAAACCGATCCGCATAAATCCGTGATGCCACGGCAGCATTTTGTAAAGACTACCCCCCCTCGTAAATAAGAATCATGTCGACAAGTTCACCATTTTCGTAAACATGTGCCATTTTTTATTTCGTTTGAGCCACGCAACAAACACCACTATTCACTCACGCGTTACCGACTGACACATTGACTGAATACAACTAAAAACATCGTGATAAGCGTTTCAAATTCTTTCGCTTTTTTGTTTCCGATGCGATCAACCGATAAGGCGGATTATATCCGTTGTTGCCAAACACGAGCACATAATATTATTATTGAGACAGGGCGGCACTCAAACTTCTAAAGGGCTATAACTTTGTTACTTTAATTTTACCAGAAAAATGTTAAAGGAAAAAAACATTTCTTTTGATCAGATCTACTCACTGTTAAAATAAATGACTCAACTTCGAAGTCACCCTGTACAGCAAAAAAGAAATAGTAAATTACTACTTAAAATATGGGTAAATACAGTCAGCCGAAAAGTAAAGTCCATTCAGTAGACATTTATGTGGTTTGGTTACTTATTGAACAGAAAAGGCACTAGCTTTTTTATCATTCTATTATTGTTGCATACACAATTAGTCACTCTATACACTTTTGTTGTCGGGCAACACTGCTATTTGTTAATTTGATAAATACATTCAGCTGTACCGCAAGTAATTGAAAATATATATATACACACAAAGTACAAATACAATACTGGCGTGAAAAAAGGATGCGCCTTCACTTTATCAATAATTTTATGACACCTGCAGAAAAATATCTTTTAGAAACCTAATATTGTACAATTTAGTTGCTAAATTGTTCAGTTTCTGATTGCCTGTCGCTGCTTCCCATTAATGGATTATATTGTATGATGTTCTTGGATTTGATAGTATAAAATTTTGACTATTGCATCCTTGGACGAAGAGAGAAAAGACGTTTTTGAAATTCGAAGCACGTTTGAATTATTAAAGTGTCAACACGTCAATACGTATTACACGGAACCCCCAGAGAAGGGTTCTTCATAGGTTAACGGAATTTTAGTGATAATGCATCTAAACTAGATGCCGCGAATGGACGACGGAGTACAAGCGGTATTTTTGACTTTCAGACCCCTGCTTTTATATACGTGGGGGCATGCTTCTGTGGAGGTGATTCATGTCCTTCCAAGCGAGCTCTACTTGGTTCTGAAGTGCTGCTACTGTGGGTGGCGGATGAGGCAAGGAGATCACTTTTCTTTCCATCATGTCTAATACACGTTCAATGGGCGAAAATACTTCATATAGGAAGGCCAATGAAGGAGGTTGGCTTGAGCATTATTGAAGTAATCCATTGTAGCTTTAGCAATATGGGGACGGACCTTACCTCGTTGAAAAACATTTGGAGTAATCACAAAAGATGAGGCTCCAGTATTTCCTGGATATACCGTTGCGCCGTCATACCTCCTCTAATAGAAAGTAGAGGTGACTTAGCACCATATGTAATGCCATTCCAAACCATAACTCCTACACTGTAGTGCACATGATGTTCAACTGAAAACTTTATATTGCGTCTGTTTCGCGGCGAATTCTGACACGCGCCCTGCTATTATGCTTTCCTAAACACACTCGAGATTCATCACGAAAAACATTTGTTAAGGTCAGTTGCACCTAGCTGCTGCGAGCTAGCACTGCATGCAGTATGGTTTTGCTCACTTGCTTAATATCGCTCACTATCGACTGAATATGTTGACGACTAGCACAGGTCAGCTTAGCTTGTTTCACAAATGTGATTTGTGTCAATCAATCCCAATGTTTCAAAATTTTCAAAGCGCTCCATTCATAGAACGTCTAGTAGACCAGGCAGCGCTAGCTCGTGCCAGTACTTAAAGTAACCAAAGTTATCTTTCATTATCCCAAATCCTTGGTCTCTTTTCTGTTTAGGAATGCATGATGGTCGACGACAAGTCAGGAGGCTACGCAGAGAAAGATATGTAAAGTTTTCAGCTGTACGTCACTTGCACCATATTGATAGTTGTGGTTAGGAACACCATTGCATATGGTTCTAAGTGGCCTTTAGTTTTCATTAGAGGCGGTACGACGGCACAATTGTGTATCCAGAAAAAACTGGAACCTCATCTTCTGTCTTTACTCTATACGCTAGAGAAACCTATTTCCCAACAAGGTAATGTCAGATCTCCATACTTTTCGCTCACTGAATATATGTGGTATATTACCTCATCCTCCATCGACGCTAGCATCTCTTCGGAACCAAGTTCAGCTAGCTTGAGACGAGATACCTCAATAAGAGATAAATTACTTCCTCGGAAGGATGCCCTGATGACTGACTAGGCGAATGTATACTGCATTAGACTGGCTTAATACATTATGAGGGAAATCTAGCGTTATAACAAATGTTTTCACTCCAAAATGTAATCACGACTTCATCTCGCTTATGTCTTACTATAAATAAAATTTCACTCATATAAAATTATTTTAAAGGGGTGTTCTATTTTCTCTGTCACGCAATAGTGAATCATATATCATCGCTTAAATGCCTTTGCATCTAGAGACAGGCGAAATAAGCTACGTTCGGATGCTGGTGTTTGTTCTGACGCGACGTAAATGAGGGTTTCAGATGGAATCGTTTACAATAATGAATATAAAAAGATTTACTAACCTCCTCAACAACAGGTTGGCACTGCTCACCAACACACGGTGCGGCAGCTTGAAACTCAATCCTTTGCAACTGTTCTTTGTTACCTGATGTTTTAATTTCCTCAGAGGTCTGCACCTGAGACTCTAATTCCGACAGATCAACTTGTTTATCTGTCAAATCAATTTTGACTTTTGTACGGACCATCTTGATGAGATCTTTCAGCATTTCAGCGCAATCTTGTGCCAAGTCGTGTTGAATAGTATTCAACAGATACTCCAGTTCTTGTATCTTCTGTTTGAGCGCAACCAGAGGAGTCACTGGAGTCGCTGGAGTGCTTCTTTCAAGAGGTACTGAAACTTGAGGAAACTGATTATCTGACCACGTGACTGAACGTAAAACTTGTTTTTGTAGAGGGATATTCTGCTGTTCTTTAGTTTGAGTTCCAACAGTGTTGATCAAAACTACTTTGTCAACAGCTGATGTGATCACATCTTGTACTGTCTGTTTGGCCTTTTCTATTACTAATTCTCGTTGTAGATCTTCCACCTGTTGCTTCACAGAATGCACTTCTTCAACTGCTGCTCTCCAATGTGAAGACGTTTGTTGGAGGTTCTGAGTTAGCTGATTGATCTAAAAATACTGATGTATTAGACCTTGGGCTCATCACATTAAATGTACGAAAACATTCAAAAAAATTTAAATATGACTAGGTTTGATCACTCAAGTAAGATACATTATAAATCTCTAGATCTCAAACTTTACTAACATATCTATAATACTCCTGTTTCACTGCCAGAGTGTGGAATATATGGGTCACTATTGTCTAACAAGTGTGTAGTATTACCAGGATCAGATGGTTCTTGAAAGCAGAACATATTACACTGAAACTCAAAATGTAATATTCACAACCCCTCATCCCCTACAACCCTAGCCTACGTTTTCAGCCCGTTCTTGCCTGGTTTTTTGTCCATATCTGCGCCGCTACTGGACCAATTTTCTTAACCTAAAAAGCTTCATTGTGCTTGTCGTAGTAGTCACCCTGTGTTTCTAATTCTCAGTTATAAAGGGGTCAAGGATTAGCGGACACACAGAATGACAGCCAGCTAGACCAACGGAAATGATTGACATGTTTTTTTGGTATGTACGTGCAATATATAATATCCAAAAAACATATACTTTTCGGTTTCAGAAGAACAAGACATATGAGGCAAATTGTGTACTTACTTGGCTGTTGATGTTAACTCCATCTTCTTGGACTCTTCGTCTATATTCTTCTGCTTCCATCATTAACTCCTGTTCTCGCTCTTGAGCCGCTTTTAAAACCTCCTTTAATCTCTCACACTCCATAGCTAAGGAATTCTTCACTTGCAACACCTCATCCAACTGAGTTTGATAATCGTTTTCAATGTTTTCATAATCAGCTCTATTTTGCCTCTTTGCCAATTCACACTCTTCATGAGCATGCTTCAACTGATTTTCTAATATAAGAACATGCTTCTTCAGTTCCTCGTGAGATCTCTCCATATCTTCATTTGTAGTTTGGATAGCCTTCAGTTGTTGTATCTTCTCATGTGCCTTTTTTATTTTGATCTTCAACTTGTTGATAAACTCTTCCTGATCTTTATTTTTCTTAAGAAGATTCTCATTTTCTGCAAAAAGTATTTCTAATTTCTTCGTCAACTCCCCTTCACTTTGAGCTAAATCCTCAAGCTTGTGACTCAGAGCCTCCTCTAAATTCATCTTTTCTTCCATATCTCTATGAGACTCCCTCAACGAACTTTCCAACTCGCATATCCTACTTTCAAGATGCTCTCTTTCTCTAAGTAATCTGTTGTTATGCTCTTCCAGATGCTCGATTCTTTGCTTATAGTCCACAATGTCTGACTCATTTGTTTCTATTATCAGTTCCAATTCTTTAATTTTTTCTTGGCTTGTATCAGCTCCTGTTTGCATTGGGTCGAATTCTTCATGTAGACTTGTGGACAGTTCTTGCTTCAAAGTGACTTCACTAACTTTTTCATGTTTGCTTCTTGCTTCCAAAAGCATATTTTGAAGATCCACATTCTCCTGCGATAGGTTTCGGATTTCCTCATTCAGTTGGTTAATTTTCTCTTGATAATCGTTTATACGACTTTGTTTATCCCCAAGGTCCTTCTTCAGATCCTCAACCTGTTCTGACAGCAATACAGATTCTTTGCTTTCCTTGCTGTTGATTTCAGTTTCCCATTTTTCTTTGGCCTCCATGTATTTTTCCTCCAACTCCTGATACGCCTGGGTCTTTTTCTTCAAATTAGCTGCGATCTTTTTCATTTTTTCCATTTGTTCTTTGTTTTTATTTGACAAATCTTCAATAGTCTTCTGCAATGATCCTTGATTTCCATCCAACTGCTTTTGCAATGTTAAGTACTTCTGTTGCATCTGTTCTGATATCAGTAAGATTTTTTCATCTTTCTCTTTAATTTGTTTTTGGAGATTCGAGATCACTTCGTCTTTATTCTGTAGATCCCTAGATAGTCTGTCAAGTTCTATAGTTTTCCTTTCGGTATCATGTTCAGCTTGAAGAATCTTTTCATTCAACTCGTTCAGTTCATCTTTTAATTTGATTATAACTTCGTTGTTTCGTGAAGCTTCATTTGCGTATTTTGTAGTTTCATTGATCTCTTCAACGATTCTATCTTTAAATTCATTTAGCTGTGCTTCCATAGTTTCAAATTTTTCCAAGTTTTTATTTTCTGTTTGAAGTTTGGAAAACATTAACTCATTAACTACTTCGTTGAGATCTTTAATATCATTCTCGCGTTGGATTAACTGCTTTTGCAAATCGTTAATGACGTTTGACGAGTTAATCAATTTATTTTTGTTTTCGGATATGATAGATTGGTAGTTTTCGATTTCTGTTATTTTTTCTTTTAGTTGTGATTCAAGTTCGTCTATTTTCGATACTGACTCGTTAATGATCGGTTCGAGGTTATCTTTTTCGTGGATTTTAGTATCGAACTCTTTCAAAGTGTGCCGTAGGGACTCGTTTTCTTTCATCAATGTTTCACAATCGGTTTGTAGTTTATTAAGAAGGGCAACATCATCCTGAAATTGGAGATACTTTATTGAAAATACGTTTGGAATGTAAAAAGTTGCAAGCACACCTACTAGGCGCATGTTGCGGAACATGTGCTTGCAGTTTATTTAAATGGAAATGCACCTGGCCGGACACCTTTCACAAATATGCACGAATAAAATATGACTGAGAAAGATTTATACGTACTGGCAGTCTCACATTCAGGTCCGCCCATTGATATCTTAGAATCACCAAAATGAAAAAGGGAGTTATGGAATTGCATTTTTGGGTGGCAAAATACATCAATGAAAAGTCCCGAAGCAGTTGTTTGTTTTATGTCTGACTTTATTCAAGATGGATTTGCAAAATAAATTGCAACAGGGAAGGTCTGCCAATTATACAATATTATTATAACTTGTAGTTTCGAATTTACCTGATTTCCAGAGTCAACTTCCAAAAGTTTAACTTGCTTTTGCAATTTTTCATTGTCTTGTTGCAACTTTTCTTTTTCAATTTGCAACTGCTCATATGTTTCAGCTAGAATTTCTCTGTTATTCTCAATCTCACTGATTTTCATGGTTAACCTGTGAACAAAAAAAAAATGGCGTCAAGTAACTTGACTCTGCAGATCCCAGGCAACATTGTTATCAGTTCACAAAGAGCACGAATTAGCCCCCCGAGAAAAAAGTTAGCTGCAAACACGTATGTCAGAAAAATAAATGGAGCAAGTAACTCAATCAGGCACTCAAAATTAATCTATACCCATCCGATTGTCATGTTGCGACCTACAGATTTCTCCCCTATCCTACCGTCAGTACTGAACATCGGACAATGTTTCTGTGACCAACTTCGTCACTCCCCAGCCACCCATCTCGATCAGTCAAGACACGATTCAAACATCGATCAGACCTCGAAGCAGATGCATCAGCGTTAGATGCGTTACGTGAGAGGCATTATTTAAAATCTCTATTGTCCAATGTTTTAGGGACAAATGTATGGGAAAACCTATGCTATGTGACATATGCCTGATAGGTCCGTAGAATTACCGGAGATGAAAAAGCGCATAAATATAATGACTTCAAAAAATTTAGATACCCTGTCCACTACTTACAACCCCCAACTCCCAATTTTTAATACTATGAAATCTTTTCTGAAAATTATCAAGAGCCTTTGAAACGTCGAATTCTGAACCGAGTCTGAGAACTCCTCCGTGGAAGCGGAGATGAAGGCGGCTGCGACAATGAAGACTGCGGCGGCGACGGCGGTAAGCCCGAATAGGGGACACATACCGTCATTCGGGAAGGTGTAGGAGGGTCCTCTCTTACACCCATGGTATGTCTTAATTTCATTCAAATTAACTTACAACACTGAATAGCGGCTTCGAGGGCACTTACTCAGGAGATCACTCGAGGCCGACATGACGAGGCACACATCCAGGAACCCTGGCTGAGAAACGGTTCAGTAAACGGGCTAGAGGCTTTTTAGCTATACTCCGGATACTAAGCCCAGAGCTTGCGTAATGACTTCCGTTAACACATGGCAAGTTAAAGAATTTACCTTCAGAGACTTAGTTGCAGTTAGAATTAGATATAAGAAGGAAGGCAGTGACAGAGACCTGGTCGTATGTTCGGCTTACCTTCCTTACGATTCAAGAGAGCCTCCTCCATCCAAGGAAATGGGGGACCTTGTCGCATTCTGTAGGGATTCTGGACTCGACCTCGTGATTGGATGCGACAGCAATGCCCATCACGTTATGTGGGGCAGCTCGAACACCAACAGACGGGGCGAAGACCTCATGGAGTTCCTAGGAGCATCGAACCTTGAGGTTCTGAATGTCGGTAACATGCCCACTTTCAGCAATAGTGTAAGATAAGAGGTTATCGACGTAACACTGTGCACGCTTAACTTAGCTCAGGACATTAGGGACAGGAGAGTGTCTCTAACACCCTCTCTATCGGATCACAGGTATATACTGTTTAAGACTGATGGAGAGATTCCAGATAAATACGCTCGGAATCCTAGGCATACTAGATGGGCTCCTTTAGGGCAGACCTTGACAGTAAGCTTGGAGCGGTTCCATACAGACTTTGTAGGGGCTCTGACATAGAAGCAGCCGTCGAGTCTCTGAGCAGGGACATGACGGCTTCATATGAGAAAAACTGCCCGTTACGCAAAGCCCAAGGTAAGGTCAAGGCAACCTTCTGGTCCAAAGAATTAGAGGATATAAAACGAGCGGTGCCCAAACTTCTTAGCAGAGTTAAGCACAGGCGAAGTTCTCTCACTTCCCCGGTTCCACAGTAGCGCGATCAATCACAGAGTGCATGCAGTTGCGCAGGCCCTCAGGGGAGGACTGGCGCACGGCTAGGGAGATTGTCACCTTCGAAAGGACGGTATGGGCAGTAGATTCGTTTGCTCCATACAAAAATCCAGGTCTGGACGGCGTATTTCCGGTCATGTTACAGCAGGGATGGAGTTCGGTTCTACCTCACCTGTTGAATGTGTTTCGAGCATGTGTGGCCACGGGCTTCACACCTAGAAGCTGGCGGCAGGCTAAAGTGGTATTCATTCCTAAACCGGGCAGAGATAGATATACTGGCCCGAAGGATTTTCGTCCGATTACTCTTTCATCTTTTGTGCTTAAGACACTGGAAAGGACAGTTAATAGATACTTAAGGGATGGCCCGCTGGAAAAGTGAGTCATTCATGCAAATCAGTTTGCATACCAAGCTGGGAAATAGACTGATCTGGCCTTACACAATCTGGTCGGTAGGCTGGAGAAGGCTCTAGATCAGCGAGAAATGGCACTCGTGGCCTTTTTGGACATTGAAGGTGCATTTAATTACACGGCGATAGTACGTCCATCTCTCTTGTACGGCTCCCAGGTCTGGTGGCCTTGCCTTAGAAGTGAGACAACTAAGGCCAAACTCAATAAAATTCAGCGTTTGGCCTGCATTAGTATTACAAGCGCAGTGCGAACAACGCCATTGGGTGCAATGGAAGCTCTGTTGGATCTCCCACCGTTGGATCTGGTGATCCGCGGTGAAGCGAGAGTAGTCGCTCATCGACTGTGGAGTCAGGGCAGCTGGGCTTTCTTGAATCCTGTCAAGAGGCATACTGCCTTAGTCGAATTGCAAAGGGAGGACCCCGTCCTTCTAAGCAGGGGTGATCGTATTACCCCTCAATATCGCTTCAACCGCAAGTTTATTGCGGAGTATCCAACGAAGGAGGAGTGGGACGCCGGTAGCCGGAGACTCTCCGGAGTGAGCGGGCAGGTTTGGTATACGGACGGCTCGGTCACCGAAGAGGGCTCAGGTGCTGGGGTCTCTGGGCCTAGAACTAGGCTATCTCTGCCTCTCGGTGGATACACCACCATTTTCCAGGCGGAAATCTTTGCGATTCTGGCTTGTGTATCTCACATTCTGGAGGAGGGTGGGCCTAGGAGAAGAATAACAATCTTATCCGACAGCCAGGCTGCAATGAAAGCACTAAGTGCCTGTAAGATTACTTCGAGTCTTGTATTGCAATGCAGGAAGGTTCTGGATTGCCTCGAGGCATCCGGTATCATTAATATGGGTACCTGGGCATGCTGGGATAAGGGGCAATGAGACGGCGGACACTCTGGCAAAGACAGGATCAGCCAGCAAGCTCGTTGGTCCTGAGCCAGCTCTAGGAGTGTCCGCGTATAAAGATAGGAGGAAAATGGAGACGTGGATTGCAAGACAACACTCTCAGAAATGGAGAAGTATCTCCAGACATCTCCACCAGGCACGGGAACTCATTGAAGGGCCCAGTGCTAAGGATGGACGCTTCTGCCTATCTCTGGATAGAGCCAACGTTAAGGCGTCACCTGCATGTGATGGGGGTGGCCTAGGATCCCTTGTGTGAACGCGGCGGGGTAGAGGAAGAGACCTCCGCGCACGTTTTGTGTCGCTGTGAAGCTCTGAGCTACTATAGGCAGACTATACTGGGGTCCATTACTTGGGACTCTCAGGACGACAAGGAGCTAGGACTCAAGGCGATTCTCAACTTCGCTAAAAGGGCGAGGCTTGTGATCTAAGCAATGTAGAGGTGCAGAAGGGTCCGCTTAAGCAGCCTATGCACTGGCTCCCTATGGTGGCCGGAATGCCTCTAATTTGAAGATTAATTCATTCATTCAACGTCAAAAACGATGTTTGAGCGATTTTTATAGTTCCGCCTCCACTGAACAGATTTTCAAATTCTACAAAACTTATTTGTCCTTGGCATAGTAGTAACCTTGTGTGGAAATTTCATCAGAATCCGAGCAATACTTCCCAAGTTATAGATGGGATAAGCAATAGCGGACAGACAGAAAGACCAGCAGACGGACCAAGGGAAATGAGTAACATAGTTTTTCATGATGTAAATGTCAGTAGCATACAAAGTGACATCTCAATATCAGTGAAAAAGAAAAATCAACTGGCATACTGATGGAATTTGCAAATGATATCAAATACAGAGATTACCTGTTATTTTCTGCTCTGAGCTGTTCCATCTTGCCCATAACCTCCTTTCTCTCTGAATTGAATAGCTCAATTCTCTCAAGGAGCTCTGTGGATTCCTCGCTCAGCTGAATCACACTCTCATTGAGATCCTGAGTGGTTTCTACACACTCAGTGGATTCTTGCATTTCTGCACATGGCATAACCTCTGCTGCAGCTTCCTGTAACATAGAACAATTTATACAATCCTCCATTCATCACAAATAGCATATTTCAGTACCTTATGTGGTTCTTCTATAATTTTTTCATATGCAGCCAATTCTAACTTTTCTTGCTGTGTGAGACCTTCCACTATTTCAATGCTTTCTGCAGATGACACCTTTTCAGCGCTCAGTTTTTCTAATTTATCGATTAATTCCATGTTTTCCTAAAAATAAATGATTCCAATTAATATGCAACTTCGTTCCATTCTTATGATTACTATGAATCACAGCTTATCAGTGTTTACCACTGATACGCCAACACATTATTTATGTCAAATTATATCACATTGAGCATCATAAGCAATGTATATAAATTGATATTGTTAAGTTGGCAATGGCAAACAATAAGGATTTTTTCGTGAGTCCACGGTGTAGCACAGTCCACTACCGGGAACCGACTCAAATTTTCGCGAAGAACGGTAATAGGGGAAGACGGATGTGACATCGTCCGAATGTCAAAAAATCACGTGGTCCGGGTACGGGTACGTCTGTGAGGTACTAGCGGGTGACAGGTCTTATGTCAATGTCATTTAAAAAATAGGCATCTCAATTGAAAATGTCTTCGCAGTGCCGAAGATTGAGTTAAATTATTAAATCATAAATGGAGCAACACGTCCACCTGATTTTAAATGACGAGGGAGAAGGTCATCGAAGATATATGAACCGCACTTGTCATATCAAATGATTGATTTTATTGATATATATGTACATTGAACAAAAAACGATCGGTCTTCTTATTTCAGATTCAAACAAGGCAGCTAAGTTTATCGCTTACAGCAAACATTTTGCGCAACATGCGCCATCTAACCACTCCTGGTGTAACTTGAAACGGTCAAAACTTCGAGAGGAAGGGGAAATTCCATCTGTTCTCGCTCCGGTTCACTACGGGATCTCGAGAAAAAATCTCTAACGTTGGTATTAGCTAAAATGTCAAGCAGTATGCCAATTGACAATGTGCAGTCACAAGTTGCCCGCGAATTAGTGTTGTCTCGTAAGTCTCAAGTTCTTTTTCAAATAAACTTAAGTAAGTTAAAGCCTGTGTCCATTTATTTTGTATGCGCCCTGCTAACAGATATATCTATTTTTGATCATTATTATAGACCCACAATCATATAAATTGTACATGGCTATGTATAAATGAAGCAAGTAATTTGAAATTCATAACTGTTAAAATATTGGAAGGTCCAATACAAATAATTAAACTACATACCTGGATATAACTCTCCAACTTGTTATTAATGTCTTGCTTCTCTCTGATCATCTCTTCAATCCTCTGGTTTAGTTCTATTTTTTCTCTATATAGGACTTCAATATCTTCTTTTAGTTTTAGATTTTCACTTTCAAATGCATCCAACTGTTCCTCTATTTGAATTGACTTCATTTCTGAGGTCACGTGGGAACTCTTCAAGTGTGTGAAGTTAGCAGCTTGCTCTCTAAGGGATAAAATATCTGAAAATAATTTTTTGGGTTGCAAAAGTCAACAATTATGTATGAAAAAATTAAACACTCACCATTCTCTAATAGTGAAATTACTTTATCCTTTTCATCAAGTTCGTCTTTCTGCAACTGAAGCTTTTCTTCCAATTCTTTACAATTTGCACATTCCAGATCTGAAACAATTGGAGATAAAATTAGAGACTCATTTTCATTACAATGTGTATTTTTTACCTTTCGTGGAACCGGTAGATTCCACCATCTTTAACTGTAAACTACCTTTTTCCTCTTCCAATTCAGCAATTTTTTCAGTTAATTTCAAGTTTTCAGCTTGTAAATGTACAATCAATGCATTTGTATCACTAGCTTTCTTAAAGGTTTCTATGTTCTTTGTTAATTCCTTAATTTTGCTTTTACTTTGGGCTTTGATTTTTATCATGTTTTTATTGCTCTCTTCTAGTTGCTTCTTCAACTTTGCTATCTCTTTTTCTGCATTCTCGGATGCCATTACTGTATAGCTTGCTGAAAATTCTTTTATATGAAAAATGTTCTCTTAAATATCTGATGTATAAAGGATATGGTAGAGATTGCACAGAATTGCTAAGAGTTGATAAGAAGCATAAAATGAATCAAAATATAATAAGGAGAAGTCTGTAAGCATTGATCAATGTATTCCATGTACTGTACTTTGGCATCCAACAAATTATCCGATATGAAATGAGATGGGATTAAGTGGTAAAATGTCATTATGCTAATAAAAACTATTATTATTTTTAAATGAGATATCCTGGTGTCATTTATGAGAATTTGGCACAGCTAGGTTTCTCAATTCCACAACAATTAGAAATCTACTACAATGTCTCTCTCATACTTATTTATTTATTTATCAACAAGTGATTGCCCAATTAAAGTACAGCATATAAAATCTAATGTAAACCTAACCCTACTTTGACTTAGATATTGAACACTTAAAACAATCACAAACACTTTACAATCCAGATCATTTCTAAATTGAAACGAATTTAATTAAAATATAAATATATGGGGAAATCAAATATTAAATATTACAGACAGGAATCTAATTGAATTTTGAATGTTTTCTGACTTAAGAAGTCCAACTTATTAGAATACTGATTTGCTAACCTTGAAGATCTAGACAGGAAGGAATTACTAGCATAATTAGTACAAAATGATCTCACATGGAATGATTTATTCAGTCTTGTTTGACGAGAAGGCACATGGAGACTAATATTTTTCAAAAGTTCTGGAGCAAAACTAAGAGAGTGCAAAATATTATAAAATAGTGACAGGTCCCTCTGATTCTGTCTTACCTGAAGGATTGAGATATTGAGAGAGCTTTCAATGACGGAATAAATAATATCTTCAACCATAATGATTTGTTTGAATGAAATGAATCTTAAGAATTTATATTGCACTCTCTCAATGGGCTTAATATGAACATTATAGTTGGGTGAGCAAACACAAGAACAATACTCCACACGGGGCCTCACTAAAGAACAAAACAACGTTTTAAATGACTGAATATTATGAAAATCCTTGGCACATCGTTTTATAAATCCCAACATTTGAAGAGATTTAGAAACAATCATATTTATATGGGAAATAAAAGATAATTTTGGGATAAGAATTACCCCTAAACCCCTAACTTGGGATACACTCTTTAGAGGACAACCTTTCATGGTATAATTATGATCAATGGGGTCCCTGTTACGGCTGAAGACCATTAAATGACATTTTTCCACATTAAGTTTCTATTCTATTCATTTGACACCAGAGACTTAATGAACTCAAATCATTTTGGATATTTAAACAATAATTATTATATTTGATTTTTAAGAATAATTTCAAATCATCTGCAAACATTAGAAAACTAACAGACTTAAAACAGTATATAATATCATTCACGTGTATATTGAAAAGAAGAGGACCCAGATGGGAACCTTGAGGTACTCCAGATGGCACATTAATCTCATTTGATTGAAAGCTTTGTATACACACTATTTGTTTTCGGTCAGTGAGGTAAGACTTCAGCCATGATAAAAGTCTCCCCGCAAATTCCTAGACAATGTAACTTATTAATCAAAATCTCATGGTTGACCTTGTCGAAGGCTGTAGAAAAATCTGAATAAACTACGTGAACAAAATAACCTTCCTCTAAGGATTCCAAAACATAGTTTGTGAATGTTAAGAGATTTAACTCTGTGGAGCGTTTTGAAAGAAATCCAAACTGTTGGCTTATAAAACTACTTTGCAAATTTGCGGATAAAAATTCACACACTAGGCTCTCAAATACCATTCCAATGCAACTCAGTTTACTGATAGGTCTTTAATTTTTGACTTGTGAAGGATCTCCAGATTTCAGTATTGGAGTAATGAAGCTTGTTTTCCAACATTGCGGAAAAGTTCCACTTTTCAATGAAAGATTAAAAATACAAATTAGAGGTCTAGAAATCAGAAAGCTACAATGTTTAATCAACAACGGAGGTATACCATCAGGTCCATTTCCTTTATTAGCGTCTAATTTGGACAGTTTGTCATAGATGGCTGAGACTGGAATTTCATAGATAGACAAATTGATGACCCCATAAGAAAGATTACTATTCTGAACAGAACTATTCTCTACTCTGTAAGCTTTAGAGAAGTAGTCTGCAAACAAATTGGTAATTTGTATACCAGAAGAACTACTGACATTATTATAATAATACTTCTGTAATGATAATCCTTACGGCTATTAATAAATTTCCAAAAAATTTATCTAAGAGAAGATTCAGTTGTATTGATATAATCCAGATAACACTGTCTTTTTAGATTTTTACACTGAGCTCTGAGAATAGAAAACTCATGATAATCATTTAGCAAGTGAGATTTGATGTACTTCTTGTGTAGTTTCTTTTTTTCAATTATCATTTGTTTAAGTTCTGGAGAAAACCAAATGGGAAATTTCTTTGCAGAGTACTTCTTCAAAGGAACAAAAATATCAATTGTTAAATATATTACATCATGAAACATATTAAGCATATCACCAAGTGATTTATTAATAAGCAGTTTGTCCCAGTTAAAACTGGAGAGAAATGCTATCACTTCCTGCACATTTGTGGATTTAAAATCTGTGTAAAAACCACTACTAGTAAGCCCAGAGTTATTAAGGCAAGTTTAACAGTTTAGCTCAAAATACAGTGGTGGATGATGAGTGTCTACTGGTAAAAGTGCTTCCTCAGCTGCATTTCCGTAGTTGTTTCATCTTGCATAAAAATCAGATCCAGTAAGTTGTTATTTTCATTTCTAATAAAATTCACTTGGTAAAGGTTATGATATGAACACAACCAAGAAAGGACCTGTATTCATTCAGCTTCAGATGATGAAACTCCTGTAAGAGGAACAGCATTAGAGGCCATATTTTCCTTAGACCATTGACAATGTGGAAGATTAAAATCACCAAGAATACATAGCCTATAGTCAGGATACAGCTCAGTTACATTCTCTAAATTCTCCGAAAATTCAACATATTTGTCTGGAGAACTACCAGGAGGAAAATATGCTGTAGCAAGGATAATTTTAGTTCGATCAATATGAATTTTTATGAACAATTGTTCAATGTTTTTAGTGGATGGTACAATACCACTAATCAAGACTTTCCGGACAGCTATAAGCACTCCTCCTCCTCGAGAAAAGCTACTTGACTGTGAACTTCTGTCTTGCCTGTAAATATTGTAATCAAATAATTGTAGCTCAGTACTATTTATGTCTTCAGTTAACCACGTTTCATTCAAAACAAGAATATCATATTGAGAATGGGACATGTCTTCATATAGAAGATGCAGCTTTGTTCGTAAGCCTCTAACATTCTGGAAGTAAACAAGTACTGTTGAAAATATGTTAGATCTTGATTGGGCACTCACCCTCAGTTAGTTTGGGCACACTATTAACATATTTCATTATGAGATTAGCTTCTCCATTGCGATTTCTAACATGGAGTTCATTTTTCAAGGAATTTACCTCAGCTCTTTGTTCATTGGTTAAATCTGCATCAAGAAAAATCTTTAAACTTCTATCAAGTCCACGCTTATTCCTCATTATTGAACGAACTACTTCAGGAGACTCCAAAATTAAACATAGTGATCGATGCCCATTCTTATTCTGTCTTCCAGTACGAGCTGAAGACACAATATTAACCACAGATCCTACGAGGCGAGAAAGTATATCCTTAACTTTATCCAAATCTTGTTCCTCATTGATTTGTGGAAAATTAAAAAGCATTAAATTACAAGCTCGTTTTTGCCTCTTAGGTACCTCCTGCATGACATTACTATGAATCACTGCTGCAGTATACCTGGATTGATTTTGGCTGGCTGGTATAGACGTGGAACTTTTCATTATAGCAAGATCCTTTTTGATAACTTTAAAAGATGATAAAAATCCAGTTCTCATACTTTTTTAACTTCATCAGTTATCTCACGAATCTGAGTTTCAAGTTCTTCAATTTTGTGTGAATTAGCAATTTTAACTTCGCTTAGGGAGTCCTCTAATGCTTGGACTCTCTTATTCAAGGTCAAGGCTGTCCTCGCACAAATATGGAATAACACAGGTGGACAAAATAAGATACCGGATCTCAGTAGAACTTATGCCGGCACAGTTTCTACATAATTTTTTTTTGCAAAAGTCACAAAGGTAGCCAAAAACTTCACCACTTATTTTCGGTTCTTTAAAAATACACTTAACAGCACACTTGTTGCACAGGCCAGCCATTCTGAGGTTATGAATCTGAGGCACTTAAACTATACTCAGATTTTGTGATATTATTCCTGCACCTAGCACATTCAGTTCTTGATTTTCCTTTGCTCATTATGACCCTATGAAATAGTGAATCCAAATCCATTTGGTCCCCGCATCACTTCAACGGCCGTAGTTGGGCCGCTTTTTCCTACACCGACCTGGATGCATCGCGATCACGGTTTATCAGAAACAAAACACGATCAACTAACACACGTTTTGATATCGACTCATGCAACGAAGACTGTAGTAAGTCACTTTTGATAGAATTGAGAAAATTGGTTTTTAATTTTTATGTCATTAGTTAGCGGGTTACAAAATAGCCAAAAAGAGACTGTTGAAAACGAAACTTTTGTATGTTGATTTAAATGTCAAACCCAAGATTTCTCACCAAAATAACTTTCATTTTGTCTTATTTTACCCCTATTTTTTATACAGCTACTATATTCTTCGTCGGAACAATTTATGAAAAAAAAATGACATACGATCATTTTGAACCAAAATTTTAATACAGAAACTTTATAACTAAACATTTTAATTCAGAAACTTTATAAAATACTTTAAAAAATAGATTAAATACATTAATTTCTATCCAAAATCATCTTCTTCAAAGTCGCTGCTACTAGAAACTTCAGAGTTCGGATTTTTACTATTCTTCGTCAGAGTTCTTTCCTTTGATTTTAGAGAAAAAAGAAATGGTACATACGAGGTATTGACGGCCTGTCTCCTCTGCAAAGCTGCAGCAATCCTTGTAATTTCTTACTGTCAATAGGGAGAGGAGAAGTGTATAGTCGAGGCAATTGAATACACAAGTTTGAAGTTGACTGCGCCTAATTTTTTTTAGGCTTAAAATTCTTGGTGATTCTGCAAATTCATATTTAAACTGGACAGTATTTGGTTCTTCTGATAACCACGACAATTCCCGGATTTTACTAATTTTTATTTGATCACGATTTTCGTACTTCTTCCAGTTCTGATTTTTAACCATATTAGAAAATTTGAAGAAGTTTGCTTGGGACATTTCTTTTACTATGTAGGGTTTTCCAGTTACCTTAGCCATTTTTATTAATGTTATCCATTGACTTGGGGTGTAGACAGCACCCAGTCGCTTTTTAGCAGTCTCTGTTATTTTCATGTTGAGAAAGTTAGAAGCATATGCTAACATGCAGAAAATAAACCGGTTCCTATTTTGGGCCCCACAATTGTCGGAATATAAGATAACACTTTTAACCCCATTAGCTTTTTGTGTTTTCAGAAAGTCCAATAGACAACTGCTGATTTTAGTTGGCCCTCGTTTTGCCACCTCTTCATACCAGACGTAACAGAACCCTTCATTGTTACCTATGTTATGTCATAGACTGTAAAATTATGTTGCAATTTTACTTTTATAATAAAATGTGCTTACTTCTGATTGAGGGGTAACTAACACCTTTTGCAAGTCAAAACACGCAACACATGAAGATTTATCATTAGTAGCTGATCATATTGTTCTTGCATATTCAATTTTATATCATTATCAGCATCTTTGTAAGCTGTGCATAGTTGACACTGATCCTTCTTTTGTTTGAAGGATGCAATATTGAATTCTGAGTTCAAAATTTCCCGATACTGCCGTACAGTTGCAAACTGAGCTCTATTGGTTCCAATATGCTCTTTGTACATTCTGTACATTTTCGTAATATTTAAACCTTCCTCTAAATACATTTTGTTTGAATGTTTTCTAATGTAATGAGAAGGAACTATTGGAAACAATTTAATATGAGCTCTCACTCTATCCATAAGATCTTCTGCAATTTTGTTGGGTCTTACATTATGGCGTCCCCGCATATCTTTTTCCAAAGTACCACCTTCTACAATTTTTTTCAAAGCAGTTGTAATCCAGGTCTCTGATATACCCAATGCGTTTAAAAACATCATTTTACAAATTTTTATCCTTTGATTATCTATCGAAAAATTATATTCTCGAGAAAAATTGCGTCTTGAATCAGTTTTGCTAATTATCTGCTTTTTTTCTACTTGGCGAACACATTTTGAGATGAAATCCCATTGCCTTGTATGATCTCCCAGTCCCCAAAAATTTTCAAATATTTTTTCCTCTTATTTTCCAGAATTTTTTCCTTGCATCTATTTCTACAATTTTCCTTGCATGATGCTTTTATCATTCTACATGAAATTACTTTACCTACTCGATTTTCATGTTTATTTCCCAGATTAAGTTCCTCTTTAGCTTTATTATCCATCCACTCATTTTCTTTTCTTAAGCGATTTTTACATTCATTGTTCTTTATTGCCATTTTTCGCTTTAGCTTTGGTTTATTATTATTTACATGTTGTGCTTCATCCGCTGATTCAGCATTGTCATCAGTAGGAACATAATTTGGATCGCAATCAGAAAAATCGGAATTTTCTATATCATGATAGTTGAAAGGGCATTTCTTCTCCGCGTGATTAATAATTTTCTCCAACATCACACTTATCACGGCAGAATCATTTTCCGCTTTTTCGCAGCAGTCTAACAGAAGCTTTCCCAGAAGTATTGCTGTAAAAAAAACTTGTGTAACATATTTTTTCAAATAAACGATATTTTAGTTATAGCAACTATTTGAGACGAAATTAATTTACGTAAGCAGTATAAAAATAATTATTACCAGGAGATTTTTTAGGAACCACATAGACTGGATCAGTATCATCTTCAATTAATTTTGAATGATTATCTTTTGCTTCACTACTTGAAAATACTTTTTGTTCGAAAGGTAAAGACGGTTCTGTAAAAAATAAAAACAAGGATTATCAATCAATATATAATTTCGGAACTATATTTCTTAATATTTCCGAAAAATAAAATACCATAATCCTTGCGAATGCAGACATCAAAAATATTAACGATTCCTATGGTGGCATAAGGAAATTCAAACATACTATGTCAATCAGAAGTGATAATAATATTATTATCATTTTTGTACTTACCAGGATTTAGTTGCTCATAAATGTTTTTGGATAACTCCAATATACGTAATATTCTATTAATATTTTAGACTTGCAACACTCTTCACCTTTACTCAAAATTCAAACTACAATTTATAACCTGAAAAAGTTATTCACGAAAATGCGAGAGAATCCATAGTAACTTGAAGAAGGTACAGCACTATCTAGACATTTCGCAATGAAAACTGTAGTAACTCAATATACGAAGATCCGAGGATTATAAAGCAAAGTATCGCAACTCAACATACAACAGTTTTCATTGAAAATATCGTACGTTGTTTGACATACGATAAAATTAAAATGTGGTTTTTGGGTTGGTTGCCTATATAGCCGCATGAGTTACGACAGTATTCTATAGTAAAGCTACATATCGAATGATTAAGAACAAATTATCCAACAATTGAGTTACTACAGTAATATGTTTGACAGGGCACATACCCCTTTACACATCACTTTATCCCGTATTACGAGGATTTATTTTTTTCATCTTTGAAAATTCTTTGAATGTCAAAACCTAGTATATAGTTAGATATCTGCAGGTAGAATACATCCGTGATACTATAACTCGAGTAGTAGAATCATGGAATACATTAATTAATGGGGGAAGTTACCCACATAGGATAGGCCCAAGATTTATATTAGCTATTTTTGGCAAGAGTTGTTAGATATAAACTTGTTTTCACCTGTATTCTTCAATCTATTTAACTCTCCAGTAACCTCTTGCAACTTTTGATCCAATTCTGAAACCTTGTATTTATAACTGTCAGACTCACTCAGTGCAGCATCAAGATTTTTTTTCATCTCATTCATACTCTCATTCAGTGTTTTATTTTCATTTAGCAGTTGTTGGTTGTATTCTTGTAACTCAGTGATTTCCAAATTCTTAGATTTTAGATCATTCAACAGAGCCTTCTGTCTCATTTTCATCTCTTCTTCCAACTTAACGAAATCTTCTTGCATATTCCTCATCTGTTCTTTAGTGTCATCAAGGGCATCTAAGGTATCCTTTCCTTTTTTGCTCAAACTGTCAGTCATCAAAGTAATGGCTTTAGTTCTAGCTTCAATAACCTGATCCTTTTCTTTGAGATTTTCTTGTAGGTCTATGATTGTAGCTTCTTGATTTTGGGTTTTATTGATCAACTCAGTTATTTTCCTTTCCCTTCTCACCAATATGTTGTACAGTTCTTCTTGACTAGTAGTTTTACTATATCCTGCAGGTTTGTCTAAGACAGTTGTGGTTGGTTGAGGAGACTCCATAAGTTGAGCTTGAAGTTGGGAAACCATTTCCTCTATACCTTTTTGACTTTTACCTCTTTCTGCCAGCTTAGCCCTAAAATCGATAGTTTGAGATTGAAATTTTAAATTATTCAACTTAACACTAAATTATTATACACCCAAGACTCTAACAAACTTTTGTAAGTTAACCTTTTGCAGCCTACTGGTATTCTGGGATGATCAACCCGTCATAATCAAATAATAGTCTCATAATTTACATTTATCTCTGTGTAATATATGGCGCAAGAATAATAAGTTACCTTCATTTTTGCCATACGGTACAATGGCAGATTGAAAGTGTTCCTGGATAACAAGCATACTTATACAGCATGTTACAAGTATTACACAGCTGGGCATTACAGTGAGTGTAAATGGCAGTGCCAACTTATTGTTACCTGGTGAGGATACAATAACCTTGCCACTTGTGGTTTGGCAAACTGGGGGATAGGGGGTCAAGTTACAGGTCAAATTTCTTCATAAGGCAAGCATTGTCAAGTCAGCATAGCCTTTCATACTACCTATGATAACTAGCTGTGTGATACTGTATGATATTTGAAGGGTTATTTTATATTTACTAGCTCCAGTTCAACATTAACTATAATATAAAATGAATAATTCCATAATAAAAAGATAAACCTGGTCACAAAGGCCTTCCTGCAATGAAAATATTGCAATTTTTCTAGTAAAAAACATGTTGCATATATTCATCATAATGTAGTGAGTTTATCACTCGCAAACGCAAACGATATTTTGGACTGGAACCTCAGTGGAACTTCTAGAATTTATCCTATTATTGCTCTTTAAATCCATTGTATTCTATCTGGTCAAGGCAATATCTTATTATATGAGAACAAAATAAGTACGTGGCATGTAGAATTAAATTGCGAAAACGAACACCACATGGTTAGGATGGGAGGTCAAAGTCAGGCGGGTCTGTCTGGCAGGCACATCGCGTGGCGGCATCGTGGAAGAGAGCTCTGAGGAGCAAAGCGCGTTGGTGTAGCGGTACAAGAGAGCTAGATAGCCGACGGCCCGATTGTGCGAAAGGGTCCCGAGACTGTCTGTTAGGGAAGAGTCATCGATCAGTCGAACAGCGCTCCTCTGGTCAGCATTGAGCATAAATAATGTAGTCGGAGCAGCAGCACCCCAAATGTGTGAGCAATATTCGAGGCTACGCCTTATCTGGGCCTTGTATAGAGTAAGAAGGTCATGCGGAGAAAAGTACTTCTGAGCCCTAAACAAATAGCCTAACTTTTTCCCAGCAGCTGCCGCTGTTGACGAGGTGAGTTCGTGCCAGATCAGGCCCTCGGTGATCTGGACTTCGACCTGTCGAAGTGAATGGCTCTTTGGCAAAGCTCGGCCATCCATCAAAACCGGATAAGCTTTAGGACGCTTTTTGTTCGTCAAGGTTCAGTACTGTGTTTTGGAAACCTAACCTCCACAACACCGTGGTCTGAGATACCGAGGGGGGATAGGACAGCAGTGCTGTAAGGGGAGGCGGGGGAAAAAAGTAGGGCCCATCACCAGCTGGGTCAGCCCTTGAGTAAGAGTGAAAACGCTTCAACTGCTGCATCGGTCTTGTTTGAGCACAACCAAAGCAAATTATGGTCATTGAAATCACTGAATAGAACTACCTCTTAAACGGGGTGATCAATGTTCAGGAAGTCGATCTTGACGGCGAGGTATTCAAGAAGGTCATCCCAGTTATGGTCCGAAGGAGAGCGATAAAAGCAGCAAATAAATTTATGAGACACCCTGAGAAAAGCTAGCGGGTGGTACCGCCTCGGTCGATTGGCCCTTGTCTACCACCTGTAACGGTTTCACCGTCCGATCGTATTTATTAAATCACTTCTCGATTATCATTTCATTAATCCCATCTCTAGCTTTTCTACTTGGAAAATTTTCCGCTTGGAGCGCTTGATGCGGAGTTCCTGATCTGCGATCTTCCTCGTGCTTCCTTTTCACTAAAATTTTCTTCTCTGTAGCACAAGGTCATATAGCACCATGTGCTAGAATTTTGTAGAATGTGTGTCCGTATAGGACAAAATGGTGAGTTTTATAATACTATACAGTTTTATTGCTGGATCTGCCTGTAGTTTATAGATAATCGATATGTAAGTGGTTTATTTCTTGTACGATTTTAAAATATTAATCGAACGTCATTTTCGACTACTTCGATCATTCGCCATAACTTTAATCAAATCGAGGTGGAAATCGATCCACATCGATTTTACCTCTGTGTGCGTATACGTAGTCATGCCATAAGTTCTGTCCCTCGTTTTCAAACAAGTGTAGACCTGTTAATACTTGTCCGATTGTTTACATTGTGGTGTCAGTTGATTAAGCGCTTTTCGGGTAATTACATATACCTCAGTTTGTATTGATCTCTCGAAGCATAACGATGGAGTGGGGCAAGGCAGAGAACCGTATTGCAGTGATAGCTTTACATAAGTGTAATCACAGTGCTAGTCAGATTTTTGAACTCTTACGCGGCCTTCAAATATCGCGTAAATTTGTGTCTAGGACCATTCAGCGGTACAATGAGACGTCCTCTGTTGATGACAGGCCAAGAAGCGGAAGACCTCGTCAAGTAAGGACTCCAGCAGCCATCAAAGCCGTAAAAGCCAGGATTCAAAGGAATCCACTCCGGAAGCAGAAGATCCTATCCAGGAAAATGAAAATCTTCACCATAGAAGAAAAATTCAACCGACAAAATGACAAAGTGTATGCAAGGAGTTCACAGGAAGCTTCGGAGATCATTCCGAGAGTTGAGAGAGGCCACCACCCTGCGTCAGTCAGGGTTTGGTGGGGGGTGTCCTACGAAGGGGTCACTCAGCTCCATTTCTGTAAACAGGGCGTGAAAACAAAAGCGGCAAACTATCAGAGCGACATACTGGATCCTATCGTCAAGCCTTTAAGTGGTACATTGTTTGCCAACCAACACTGGGTCTACCAGCAGGATTCCGCCCCCGCTCACAAGGCTAAGAGTACGCAGCGCTGGCTGGAAAGCAATGTGCCAGAGTTCATTGCTGCGGAAGATTGGCCCTCAGGGAGTCCGGACCTCAATCCTTTAGACTACAAGTTGTGGGACCTGCTAGAGCAGTTGGCCTGCTCCAAAGCCCACCGTAATATCGAGTCCCTGAAAGCGGATTTGATCCGATCAGCGGCAGCTATTCCTTTGGAAGCTGTGCGTGCAGTGATAGATGAGTGGCCCGCGAGATTGAAGCAGTGTGTGAAGGCCAAGGGGGGACATTTTGAATAAAACTGTTTGATTATGAATTCTAAAAATGTTGTCAAATAAATAATATCTTTCATATAAATATATCTTATCTTGTTTCATTTTTATCATGAGATTATCATGGGACAGAACTTATGGCACGACTACGTATATATTCATAGTTCAGTGAAATTATAAGTACGTTGATTATGAATATTCGATATTTGTGTTTTTATATCAGAAGCATGTGGAGAAATTTTTGATGACCACCATCTTGTTTTACGCTTTTTTTTGCTATTTCATGATTTTATTTTATGAAAGGCATTTCCAATTTTCGGTTTGATTTTATCAAACTATGTAATGTAATTCTAACCTAGAAAATCGTTGGTTCTCTTTTGAGGCAGACTGAGATTGGAAATGCCTTGGCCATTAGGGCACGTTGCTAATGCACACGGTTCTTTTTCAGATTGGGGCCACCCCCCTTTCCCTTTCTCTTTCCCTTTCCCTTTGCCTTAGTCTTTGACTTTGCCTTGCTTGGCCAATATTTTCACCCATGCATGTGCCTTGGCAGCGCCATCGCCTTTAACTTCGCCTACAACTGGTTATGAAGCCACTATATGGAGGTAACCCCTCATAACTGGGACCTCCACTTCAAGCACCTGGCCATCCTCGCTTCAGTCGAGTCAAAATGGACCAGCGAAAGATAAGTTGATAGTTTTATAGCAGCGCCAAAGATGTAAAACTTATTTAAACTGTAAAATTGTAATGTAATGAAAATGCCTTTTTTTTTGTTAAATAAAATCTGTTAAATTTTTGTGTTCTGTTTGTTCTTCTATCCTCTAGCTATGCCATGGTCGACACACAGCTACACGCCTGTAGATGTCTTCATGCCACCGACTGAGCTACCGGAAGCTAATGCTAACCCCCTTTCTGTGATTGTACAGAAAAGTTGGAATCTTTATTGCATTCCACCTTTTCTGGACTTTTTGCGAAAAGGAAGCGTTACACACCTTCTTTTTGCGTGTTAATGATATTAAACAGACCTAAAGTGGCCTGTTGGCGGACTTGTACCGTCACCCGGCAATTGGTACTGAGGTATTCCTTAACGCGTGTACAATCACTTGAACGGGAAGAAGTTGTATACTAGATACAACAACTTCCAGAACAAGCATTTGCCACGGCCCCGCTCAGTAGGGGATGGGTTTTTTTCAGACTTTCGTTGTCGAACTTAGATTTACGGCGTAGTTGATGTCTTCTCAGTTTTCGAACCGGTATTGATCGCATGTAAAAATGTTGGAAATCCTTGGAAAAACCATATGTGTTAGACCGTAATTATTTTGATACTGTATGTTTATACGAAACAAGTACACGAATACAGGACTGTACAGATTCACGTATAGTGCAGCAGCTGTGTGATTTAAACTAATTCAATATAGCAACATAAATAGACTCATACGTGAGAAGAGATCCGGGACGTGTGGTATTGACTTTGAGCATAGATCGACGCAGTTTCTGGACAGGTCACAGGCGCACCACTAAACAAATCTCGTAAATGTCTATTTCCAATTTAGGCATTCATTTAACATAGTGCTTCGATACAACACCAATCCCGAACAAAATCAGTCAAGTTATACACTTTTCCAAATTATTATTGAGCAATAAACAGAAGATAGATCACCTTTTAAGTGCAATCTGTATAGCTCATATATATGTACCCACACTTAGATTTGTCAAAGGTCACAATACTTGTATATACATATAAATCGTAAGAATTGTGCTGTAAACAAGTCATGTCAAAGAGGGGCAGGATTTGGAATACCAAAAAATCGCAATGCTCAGTTCCTATAGCTCTAACTTATAGTTAGTATGCTTCTGTGGCCAAATTGTGTCAGAAAGTAACAGAATGGTGTTAGATTACAAAAGCAAGTGTAAGACGTCTAGGGTCTAGGATTTAGAGCGGGGCGCGGGGGCTACAGCTTCTGTCGCCAAGTTGCGTCAGAAAGTAACTGAATGGTGTTAGATTACAAAAGCAAGTGTAAGACGTCTAGGGTCTAGGATTTAGAGGGGGGCACCCCCACGCCCGCTCTAAATCCGCCACTGGTCATACTTAAGAAATCAATCTCAAAACTGGTATATTTCCAGATGTTAAATGGACGAGTTCTAAAAAATTTATGACATGTTTCCAAGTGCTAAATTCAAATTGCATTGCATTTGTAAATAAATCATGTGTTATAAGTGATATTACAAACCTACTTCTAGATCAAGCAAAAATGCTGTGCTGTAATGGAATATAATTATTTTTTTTACAATTCTGCCTTATTTGAGATTACAGATAATGAACATTGCTTGGTTTGGCATCATATGTTGAAGACACCTAGGACAAACAAGCATTAAATTGATGTGCTGCAAAAAACATGTATTTAACATTATATTGAGGATAAAACAGGACTCATTAACCACAATCACTGATGCAATACACCTCATAACAAGTAATGCTGAAGACATGAAAAACATAAATATGTCAACTTCCCATGTCTACAGCAAGTAGTATGGGCATCATAACAAGCGTTTTTGCACCACATAAATCACTGCTGTGTCCTAGGCATAAGATATCACAAGCCACACTAATAAAAGATCATACTCATACATGCAGATTATTACATATACACAGTCACAACTTTATCAATTCTTTCAATATTGTTATTCTATTTAAACTAAATGACTAAAGCACTGTCCAGTTGAATTTTTGTACTTACTTATTTTCTTCCAACTGCTGCTTTAGCAAATTTATTTTCTTATTACTATCTACACTAATACTTTTCCCAGACCTCGATTCATCTTTTCGGGATTGTGATTTCTTAGCTTTCACTTTACTCAATGTTTGAATATATTCTTCGACCTTCTCTTGCGGTACATTGCTTTGCTCCTTCCGTAACATTTCTTTGAGCTGTGCTATAAGAACTTGCTGATGTTCATTTTGGCTTTTAAGGTCTGTAAGTTCCTTGGATATGGATGTTGAAGGCTGGCCTCCAGGCTCCGGTTCTGGATCACCCCACATTGTGCTCGACTCTATTCAAACTACTTTTTTGTTGACCAGAGTGCATCAAATGAATGATTATTTATACAATTTGTGATTGTGCATTGAAAATCACCCCAATATGTTTTTTGCAAATCTCCACGTCACCTGTCATAAATACAACTAGACATCAAAATGTCAATATCAGCTGACTACCTGTCAACTTGTCACAGATGAAGTGGGTGACCTAGACAGTGGTCGCCAACCTTTTCGGTAATGTTGTAATAAGAAGAGCTACCTACTCGTAAGCAATGTAAGCTAACTTAACTGAAATTATACACAGTTGTCTGTGACATACATGTGTTTATTTTACTAATACTAATACATACTAATAAACTTAAATGAATTGAAAAATAACTAATACATACTACATAACTACATCCATTCCTACCAATCGTAGGTGTTTGAAAAATAAACAAAATTGTTCGTTAGCTAAATTGGCATACTTATCTCATACGATTTAATAAAGGTAACTAAAAATAAAAAAAATCCACGCACTATTTTAAACAAAAAACATGTACAGAAAAAAATACGTTTTCAATGAGAAGCCTGACACTCAGACTCACTGACGTTTTTTTTAATGTTTGGAGTATAATTTGATACCGCCATTCGAACTATCCAAATGTCATCTATAAGTTGATTACGGTATTTGTTTTTAATAACCGTCATATTTAAAAAAGAAGATTCACACAAATAGGTTGAACTAATTAACGCTTTCACTTGCAAGGCAACACGACATAAAACTGAATATTCATCTTTACTTACTGAAGGCCAGACACATTTTGTATTTAAGACTAATGACTTTGAAGCTAAATCATTTTGAAACGCAATCACTTCCATTTCTGTAGCGTCGATGTCTTCGCTGAAATTCTGCGTAACAGAAGTTGCAAACTGTAGGATATCAATTTCCATGAAGGGTGAAACAACAGATTGCGCCACTATAGTAATTTCGTTGAAATCCTTGAAATGATTTAAGAAGTTGTCATTCAAGCTAGAGCCTGTTTCTGCCTGATATTTACTCTTATATGGTTCTAATGAACATTGTTATATCTTTCCTGAAAGAACAGGAGATTGTCTGGTATAGCCATCGATTAAGTTTTTTTCACAAAACTTTTTGATAACGCTTTTATATCAGAAATCATTTCTGCTAGTTCTTTGTCTCTCCCCTGAAGCTGCAAATTAAGTTCATTAAATTTTTCTGTAATATCCACAAGAAAACCAAAATCTCTAAGATAGATTGAATTTTCCAGTTCCCGAATCGGTTCATCACGTTGTTTAAAAAAATTGAACTATGGCAGATATGATATCATTAAAACGTTTCAGCACTCGTCCCCTACTCAACCATCAGAGCGAAGATGTAGTTCCCCGTATTGACAATCAATTTCATCGGCCAAGGTTTTGAATAGTCTCCTTTGTAACGCTTGAGCTCTAATCTTGTTCACAATCTTTACTCCCAATTTCATATCGTTGTTTAGTTTTAGAAAATATCCACTTAGTGCTTGCTGATGGATAATGTAGTGGTAACAACAGAGAAACTGCGAAAAACTTTCATCTTTACGACATAACTCCACGCAAGGGCGGATTTTGGGGCTGGTCATTTTTTAACCTCAGTGGAACTTCTAGAATGTATCTTATTATTGCTCCTTAAATCCGTTGTGTTCTACCTGGTCAAGGCCAGCTTGAACAAAAAAATATGGAAATTGCTCAGAAATCCATAGAAAGCCAATATTTTATTATATGAGAACAAAATAAGTACGTGGCATTTATAATTAACTAGTGTAATAATATTAAAGATTCAAACATAAAAAACTTCATTGCTCTGTTAACCGACAAAAAATAAATAAACATTCGGAGGGACCCCGAGACACATCCCAGTCCATTCCACACAAAGCAATGTCATCGATTGCGAAAACGAAGATGAAACCAAAAAATTCATATCATAGTATGGGCGCTACACAAGACAAAGAAGGATGTCTTTAGAGCTTCTATAGATCGTGTCTTGAGACCGTCTCCACACTGTCAGAGACAAATTGCGCAAAGGGGTCTACTAGTATGTAATAAGAATAAGCTTAAGGATTAATACTCATCTGAACTGCCCATTACACAAATCAAGTAAATGGTGCAAATACGGACACAATCAAGCACTTCTATTATATCAGCAGGTGATAAAAATATCAATAGGTGTAGCCAATTATTATTTCTTTTTTATACCTAAGGAGCCGCGCAGGCAGAATCCTAAATGCCGGAACACCACGGCTGCTATGATGATCCCAAATAATTTTTGTTAATCCGAGGTTAGTAGAACTGGGAAAAGCTTCCTCGTGTAGATTTTTCCAAAATCTTGACACCCTTGGGACAAAGGAGCGGTCGTATCGGCCAGCTCTGGATGTACGAAGTTCGACACGGTTAGGATGGGAGGCCAAAGTCAGGCGGGACTATCTGGCAGGCACATCGCGCGGCGGCTTCATGGAAGAGAGCTTTGAGGAGCAAAGCCCGTTGGTGTAGCGCCGGTGCGAAAGGATCTGTTAGAGCAAAATCATCGATCAGTCGGACAGCCCTCCTCTGGTCATCATCGAGCATAAATAAAAAGGTCATGCGGAAAAGAGTGCTTCTTAGCCCTAAACCAATAGCCTAGCTTTTTCCCAGCAGCTGCCGCTATTGACGAGATGAGTTTGTGCCAGATCAGGTCCTCGGTGGTCTGGACTCTGACTTGTCGAAATAAATTGTTCTTTGGCAGAACACGACCATCCATCGAAACCGGATGAGCTTTAGGAAGCTTTTGTTCGTCAAGGTACAGTACTCTGTTTTGGAAGCATTAAACTGTACAAGATTGTGGCGTCCCCAAGCAGTGATAACGCCCAGGTCTCTCGTCAGAGAGGAAGTCGTCGCGAGTCTTCTTTTGTCTGGCTCAGTGGTAGAGATCGGCTTGTCACTCTGAATTCCTGCATATAGAGTACTGTCATGAGCGAAGCTGTGGATTGGGTTGATCGTGCAGGAAAGGAGGTCGTTGATATGTAAGACTACCATTTTCGATATTGGAATTTTCTAAGAAGAAATAATATTTTTAAAAGAAGAAAACAAGTCTTTAACCCTAAAATCACTAAAAACCATCCTGACGGTCACGGACATCTGAGAGGTGGAAACGACATCTATGGATTCATCCAGCTGCATTGAAAAATAAGTACAGCTACCGAAGTTATTTTTTAACTGTAAAACTATACCATTGCAACTGAAATAGATCTATTACATAACAATCATACATTTTTACCTTTAATAACTTCTGTAAAGAAATATTGTTCTTCCCATTCCGAATGGAAATGGTATGTCTTCATTTTCTTGATATTGCGTATAATGTTTTTAATTGCAGGCCAACTCAAACCCAACCGCTGGACTTTGTGCCGTTCAGTTTTAAGCTGAGCCCACTGTCACCGCGCCTTGCGTATTTATTCCGTTAAAAGTAATCGAGATCGTTCTCGAACAGAATGCTCACCGCAGTGCTGCCGCTGCTTCTGTTTATTGTGAGAATTTAAAAAAATTACGGAAGCTTCTATGGTTTTTACACCTTTCTAAAATATGTTGTGAGCCACCAGAATTGCCTTTGCGAGCTACCGGTATCTCGTGATCGACAAGTTGGCGACCGCTGACCTAGAATATCAATCACCATTTGAATAATTTATGGTATAGCAGTACATCAGAATATAGATATATCTATTATTTGAAATGTGAGACAAGATGTAAGTAAACTTATCGCATTAAAGTAATTTGAAATATGCAGACTCGCTGTCGTCTAGGTCACATTTTCCAATTTGACAGTGACAATGTGAAGAATTTGGCAGTTATTTCTAACCTTTGTTTTACAATTATGCTAGACTGTGGTTTGTGGCAGTTACCGTGTGCTTGTTTCTAACCAGGGTTGCCAACACTTCGGTCATCAAATCTACTAAATCACACTGCCAGATCTACCAGAAATCTACTAGATGAAAATTATGAATTTCATAAATCTACCAGAAAATCTACTACAGTATATTCAGATAAGAGATAGACCGGACATAAACAAGACCACGTGATCATCGAACACTGTAACATTCGGCAGGGACGTATTAAGAGTCACGCAGTACATATTTTAGATAGTAGATGCTGCTTTGCGTAACTTAATAGTAAATTAGCACAATTCGATGTGTATACGATTGGTGATGGATATAGGATCATGTGGGGGTGGGGTAAGAAATATATAATGATGTAAATATACATAAGGGTTTCAAAATTTTCGCTTCGATTTCCAGCTTCGGATGCCGTCTGATGTTTGGTGAAATACAGTCGAATATAATCTCAAAATGGCGTTTAAATTAGCCTATAATTATAACAAGGTATAACAATAACAACGACAAACTCAACAACTTAATAAGATAACAAACGAAAACGTCCAAAGAAATATCAAATTGCAATGATGCACACGACATACGTAACACGTCTGAACCTGAATGTGACTCTGCCTTGATACGACTGCTCTGCCGCTCGGCATAGGCATTTAATTGCGAATTGACCAATGAGGGCTCCTGTTTTACGTCGAGACGGCGGCGTGTAACGGTTTCACCGTCCGATCGTATTTATTAAATCACTTCTCGATTATCATTTCATTAATCCCATCTCTAGCTTTTTTGCTTGGAAAATTTTCCGCTTGGAGCGCTTGATGCGGAGTTCCTGATCTGCGATCTTCCTCGCGCTTCCTTTTCACTTGAGCCGCCGATCGAACAACGGCTAGAAATTTCTTCTCAGTAGCACAAGGTTATATAGCACCATGTGCTAGAATTTTCTAGAATGTGTGTCCGTATAGGACAAAAATGATTGGGGCCACCCCCTTTCTCTTTCCCTTTCACTTTGCCTAGCCTTGGCCAATATTTTCACCCATGCATGTACCTTGGCAGCGCCATCGCCTTTAACTTCGCCTACAACTGGTTGTGAAGCCACTATATGGAGGTCACCCCTCATAACTGGGACCTCCCCTTCAAGCCCCTGGCCATCCTGGCTTCAGTCGAGTAAAAATGGACCAGCGAAAGATAAGTCGATAGCGTTATAGCAGCGCCAAAGATGTAAAACTTATTTTGTTATTTTTGTAAAATTGTAATGTAATGAAAA